TGCATTACCCTCGATGTCCTGGGAGTTGTGGATCTGAAGTACTGCACTGGCAATGGCAATGGACAAGTGAGAAAACCTTACCCTTCCCTTTCTTGAACCAAATTTGGGGGGAGGGTTTCCGAGCTGCTGCCCAAAGCCAACCCTGATGCCCTTCATGACAGGCATCTCCTCTTTTGTGAGGTTCCTTCTTGAGGGTGCAGATGCTGAAACAGAGCCATGGGTGAGCAGAGATTTCCATCCATGATGTTGAACATGGATTAATTGTGGCCAGCCCTCTTGCACTGATCAATTTCTGAATGGCACGGATGGCAGCTGTCAGATGCAGCATGGGTTCACTGAATTCCCAGAAAGAATTCTTACGGTCTCTGTGCAAATCCACAGCCTTGGTTCTGGGTCCTTTGGAAAAGAATGAGGGCCATGGCAGAACTCCCCAGCAGGCAGCACTTCTTCCATTGTGGCAGGGACTTTTCTGTAGCTTTGATGACATCACTGACTCTTTCTTCGAAGAAGACATGTCTTCTTTCCCTTGGCTTTTTAGTCTCAGCAGATTCCTGGTGGCATCTTCAACAACACACAAGGAGGCATCTTCAACAACACACAAGTGATCATTGGTGGCCAGTCCCAAATTGTGACCATCAACAGGCAATGGCGTGTGGCAATCATTGAGCAAAGGAGCTTCAGCGGGTCCTGGAAAACCATCTGGAACTACAACACGGTGAGTGGCAGGGATGGGGCTTGTTTAATACATCCAAGGAGATTGGCCACTGGTACAGCCATTTACTTCACAGGGTGTCATTGCAACCAAAGTCACTCAACAGAACGCCTGCTACATTTCCACCATGAACAGAAATGAGATGCCCAGCTTCAATAATCTGGCCCACCTGGCACAAGAGAGCAAGGTAAGATTCCAGGGGAGTAGCAGGTTCATTACCCTGGAGTTCATTGACCGGACTTCTTCATGTGCTTTTTCCTTCTGGACAGGAGAATGTTGTCACAAGTGGCAGGATTTTTCTCTCAACACTAGTGGGGCTTGGGAATTTTTCCTAGGAATGCTTTGCTGAAAGAAGAAAGGGGGCTACACCATTCTCTTTCTCATCTCCACTTTCTCTGAGGATGTTGAGCTCTCCAGTTTGCTTGGCACAGCCTTTCTCTGGGGAGCCCATCAAGGGTCTAGATTATTTTGGCATGCCCAGATCTGAAAGTCCTACACAGACTATTCAGTCCCAAACTGCATTGGCCAGCTCAGAACCTGGTGCTGCAGCTGCTCTTGGCCTTTCCCCTAGGGAATGTGCCTAGCAGGAACCAGCTCCTGAGAATTATCTTGCTAACTGCTGTAATTTCTTGTTTAGAATCAGATTGGTTTTGGAAGTCCAACCAAGAAGATAATTTTTGTTGCTAGTTTATTGGTGAACAACCTCCGGTCTTATGGATCAGATGTCTTCTCCATGTGCAGTGGACTCACCACCTACATGGCTCATGAAGTTCACAGTGAGTGCAAGCAAAGGAAATCTGTTTCTAAGTGATCTGGCCTTTTTCTCTCCTGATGAATTACCAATTGCTACATTTCCACCTCAAGTCACACAGAAGCCAAGGGCTTCAGCAGTTGCACAAATAGTTCAACCTCTTTGCAGATCAGGACTGGAACAGGATGTTGTCACAGGCCTCATAAATTATCCAAACGAAACCTTAAGAGTTCCTTTCTTGTAAAGCTTAATGAGTTTGGGCCCATGAACTGACAGCAGCCTCACCATGCAATACCCAGCCATTGGGACTCTCAGGACAATGTGCAATAGAGCCACAATTTCTGCACAGGAAAATCCCAAGGGTGTTCAAGGGCAGGTCTTTGTGAGCATTCCAGGCTGAGCCACAGAGCTGGTGCTCACTGGGGACTCCAAGAGAATCTGTCCCTTGCACAGCTCAAACATTCCCAGAGCAGCAGCTATTCATACCTGGTGTGCTCTGAGGAACACCACCACCTTTCTGTAGAAGGTCAGCCAAGGTCTTAGACATCAGCTCCTGGTGTATTTTCTTTTCTTTTCCAGCTTTGCAAGGACCCCAGCTGAATCTGGGATCATGCATTACCCTCGATGTCCTGGGAGTTGTGGATCTGAAGTACTGCACTGGTAATTTCCATGGTAATGGACAGGTGAGAAAACCTTAGCTCTTACCTTTCTTGAACCAGTTTGGGGGTTCAAAGCTGCTCAAAGCCAGTGCTGATGTCCTTCTTGCCTGGCATCTCCTCTTTTGAGAGGTTCCTGCCTGAGGGTGCAGATGATGAAACAGAGCAATGGGTCAGCAGATGTTCCTGTTCAGGATCTTGAGCGTGGATTTGCTCTGGCCAGTGCTCTAGCATGCATCAACCTCTAAAGGCACCAGATGGCAGCTGTCAGATGCAGCAAGGATTCACTGAATTAATAGAAAGAATTCTTACATCCTTTGCCCAACACCACAGCCTTGATTCTGGGTCCTTTGGAAAAGACTGAGGGCAGTGCCAGCACTCGCCAAGCAGGCAGCACTTCTTCCATTGCAGCAGGGATTTTTCAGAAAATTTGGGGACATCACTGTCTTTCTTCAAATGCTAAATATCTGCTTTCTCTTGGCTTTTCAGTCCCAGCAGACAGGTAACAACTGCCATTTCTCTGGTGCCTGTGTTTACCAAAACATGACCCTCAGCAGTCAGACACGTGAGGTGATTATCGAGCAGAGGAGCGAGCAGTTCTCCTGGAAAACCATCTGGAATTACAACACGGTGAGTGGCAGCGAGGGGGCTCCTTCTAAAGCTTTCCTGGCAGACTGGCCCTTGGTACAGCTGGCCCAGGGACAGGGAATGTTTCTGTATTCTCAACATCCAGACTCCAAGAATAGGGGTAGAACCTCTCAGCATTTGTTAACCTTGTTAGTCAGAGTCTATCCCGTCTTTTTGGGTGGAAAACCAAACTGCAAGTGCTCAAGAATTTTTTTTTCACAGGACATCATTGCAACCAAAGTGGTGCAAGAGAGAACGTGCTACATTTCCACCATGAACAGAAATGAGATGCCCACCTTTGATGCTCTCATCAGATATACTTCAGAGAACAAGGTAAGATTCAAAGTCAGCAGTTGCTTGGGATATTGTACTGTTTTTGAAATTGCTTTTTGTGGCTGAAACACTGCTTTTTCCAAAATCCTCTTAACCAACTGGTAAATCAAAAGCCAGTTTAATTGCTATTTTCATGGTTATTTTCAGTGATATTTTTCAGGTACATTATTTGAAGGCTTTCAGAAATTACAGTATGCACTTTTGGATGCCTTTAGTGCAGGTTCATTTTGAGTCCAAGTCCCAAATTAGTTAGATTATTTTTACAATTATTTAAATCATTATTTCAATTGACTCTTTATATTACCTAAGTAACCAAGACTTTAGACTAAGTATGCTTCAGCAAGTCTCATTCTCAACGTCTAGAAAAATACTTTTTCTTCAGAAGATCTAATTGAGGAAGAAAAAATATTCCAATTTGGTAGAAAAAATATTTTAGTAAGCTTTCAAACTTTTTGAAGAGGACTCTATACCATGTTTCTTTAGTTCAGCCATCCACATTAGCACAGACATTATACAAATGCTCTCAGCATTCAGCATATTCACCTTTGCTAAACACTGGCTTCCCTTGAAATCTTACAACTGAGTTGGTAAAAAACCAACACTTTAAACAGTAGGAAGACCTGTAGGGCAGAAGGGAATCAGGAGGAGACTTCTCCTGGCAGCCAACAGCCCGGGTGCCCCTGAGGGGCGAGGGCAGTGACTGAGCACATGCCTTGGAAGGAGCTCTGGCTCCTCTTCTCCCCTTCAGCACTTTCCTTGTGCTGCCGCTTCCCCTCAGGCTCCTGCACCTTGGCTCCCTCAAAACCATCTGCCTTTGGAGCTGCCTTCAAGGCTTGCCACTGGTCCCACAGTCTCCCAGGGAGTGAAAGGTGTCCCTAAAAGCAATTGGGACTCCAACACCCAGTCCTGAGTCATCCTTCCTGAGCTAGGAATAGGGCTAGCAGGAACCAGCTCCTTGCACTGATCGTGCTAAATGCTGGTATTTGTTCTTTAGAACCAGGTTGGCCTTGGAAGGCCTACCAAGAAGATCACCTTTGTCACCAATGGATTGGTCAGCAACCTCATGTCTTATGGATCAGATGTCTTCTCCATGTGCAGTGGACTCACCACCTACATGGCTTATGAAGTTCATGGTGAGTGCAAACGAAGGAAATCTGTTTCTGAGTGACCTGGCATTTGTTTTCCTTGGGGAATGGCCAATGGACAATTGCTGCTCTTCCACCTTGAGATTGACACAAGCAACAAACGTGCATCCTCATAGAAGAGCAGCTGTTGTATGGAGATGTGTATAAATCTACTGAATCAGTTTCAGTTTCTTAATCACAGAGGTTCTTCTATTGAGGTCAAAAACTATTCTTTTGAAATATATTCAAGTAATTCTTTTACTCAGAGGGGTTAATCCTGAGGCACCATCCAAGTATTCTGAGCCTTTCTCCAAGCTGATGGTCTCCAGCTCTCTCTTGGAAAGCACTCTATGGCTCAGGCTCCAGCTGTTGCATCCTGCCTTAGCAGTAGTTCCACGTACTCACTGCTTGCTTTGCTTTAGGCTTGCTTTGGCAGCTGAAAGGGCTCAATGGGATTGAAAAGGCACGTGCAATGTGCCAGGTTTAAGGGCTGCCAGTGAATGCACAGAGCACTTAAAATCATCTAAGCCAGTGCTTTTTTTTTTCCCCTTTTTTTTCTATTTTTGATGTTTGTATAGGACCCCAAGTGAATCAGGGATCATGTATCTCACTTGATGCCCTCAAACTTGTGAATTTGAATTACTGTGGTGGCAATATCAAGGCCTGAAAACCTTACCTTTCTTCAATCAAGAACAGAGGATCCAAGCTGCTGCCCAAGGCAGACCCTGCTGCAATTCTTCCCTCACGTCTCCTTTTAGAGATGTTCTTGGGGATTTAGTGCTGACACAGATCAACTGGTGACCACATCTTTCAAATAAAGTTCTTCATTATGTATTAAGTCCAGCTTGTTTCTCATTACCCTTTTTCATCTAACAACCCCTCCAAAAATATTTTTATTGTCTTCCTTCTGCCCCATTTAAACCCTTCAAATGCTCTTTTGATTGCCAGCTCTCAACACAGGACACAGACAAAGAGCTGGGCAAGCCCCAGGGTGTGTATGGTACAAACGAGGCATTCACAGGCAGGACCTTCCTTCCCTGTTTGGGGAAAGATGCCTCGCACTAAGAAACTTGATTCACGTGGCACAAAAGGCTGAAAGAAAGAAGGGGAAAGCAGTGAAATTGCCTTTTTTTAGGGGATGGGGAGTCTCTTTTGTGGGATTTACAGAGTTGTTCTGTTCCTAAAATGAGGCAAGGTTGGGATTCCTGTTGCTCAAATCTTTACAATCAAGATTATTTTGTTTTCTCTCACAAAAATGGCAGGATGCCCCACATTATCCAGGTGAATACAAATCTGCCTTTAGTACCAACATCCCTCGGTTTCTGGCATACTCAAATCAGCCCTTAGTCCATAATCAGGTGCACATTGGCACAAAGCATCACTACAAGTTTACTGGGAATCTCTGCTCTGCTTCTGATGATCATTGTTTTCCATTTCAAAGTGACTGGTCAATACACTGAGCTTACCATGAGCACTTTTCTCTCACCTCCCTGTATGCCATGAATTCAATCAGGCAGGTATCAAAGCCTCCTCTTATCAGAGCACTTCCCCAGGAAACTCGTCATGCTTCTGTGAACACAGGGCACCTGCCAATAAGGTAAACCCATTTTCAGATTTAACTTTGGGATATTATGTATAAAAAGTAAGAGTACACATCAATTAGCAGCAGAGCTGGCCTGGCCTGCCATCCAAATGAAGTTCCCTGTAAGTATACCTATCACTTTCTCATAAAACTCTTGATATTGGGCAGCTTTTAAATGGTCTTGAGCTTTTCTTGGCACTGAGAGAACTCTTAGTGATTTCTGACAAAGTGAAAATGCCAAAGGGGTGGGGACTGCAGGGGAGAAATCTCCCTTTTGGCAGGGATGGAACTCCACATGCTGAACCATGAAAGAGACAAGGGCTCTGTTCCAGGGGCCACACACACTCGTGACACGTCCACAGGACAATATTCTCTCCTTCAGCACTCAGAGGCAAACCAACAGTCTCAGCAAGTCACATAAAGTTAGAGCTTAGGAGAACCATGAGGCATGAGAGACCCCATGTGCACTCAGATCCTCCTCATCAAAATCCTTTAAAATAAAAGTTTGGACCAATTCAGCATTCAAGGGAATGCTTCCATGATAAAAATTGTCCACAACAGTTAACACAAATGAATTTATCATCACAACAAATAATTCTCCTGCATACTTTAAATCCTCTTCAGCTGGATCCCACTGCAGAATGGCATACAGAGGGTCCAGGGCTGCAAAGGGTGAGGGTGCAAAGGGTTTAAGAGCATTTAAACACTGACTCATTTACAAGGTGATTCAATAGCGTTTACCACAATTACAACAAAGACTGAGATATAGATTGAAGATAGCAGCATTCATACCCTAATCACTCCTCATGCACACACACAGGCCCGGAGCTGTTTACATCTCTATCTATGTGTGCAGAAGGACCTGTTAAAAATTCCCCTGGAGTTCACTGAAAGGGGTCAAATGCCTTTGCATTTCTCAGTGGGTGAGGGTTGAGTCCCGAGGAGAGGGGAATGCCAGCCCAGTCTTCAGGGAATCAAATTTTGACTGCAAACGTGAGGCTTTGCAAGCTCCAGGAGACATCCCACTCCACAGGAGAAGCTTGAGGAGCCCACTGCAGTCCAGGGCAGCCCAAAGACCCCACCTAGCACTGCTGTTTGTGGAGTCAGGGTGAGATGATTGTCCTTAATTCCCAGGAGATTTCCACCCTGGCCTATCCTGAGTTTTTAACAATGGTCCTGTTCCACTCAGGCTGTGGCACAGGTAGATAATGTTCCAAGGCTGTCAGGGGTGAGTGATTATCCCTTGTTCCCTGCCTGGGTCAGGGAACCAATATTCCTGATATAAGCAGTGTCACTCCCACGTTTCCCTCTCAGAGTTCCCAGCTGGGGTAAAGCCTGAATGTGAAGCCTGACACAAGAACCCTGATGGCTCTTGTGGCCTTCCCAGCCTCCCCTTTGAGGCCACAAACCATCTCCCCTTTAATCTGATCTCCAAGAGAAATAATCCCCAAAACATGGCTACAGCAGCCAATGCTTTATTGAGAGAAACACTGCTGGGAATCCACACAGCTAAATCCTTACCTCCTTTAATCTGTCCCAAAAATTAGAACATCAAGAAAAGCTCCAAGGAGCACCACAATGAAAGTTCACACCACTCTGGCACTGGGGTTATGCTTGAGCAGGAGAAACATCATACACGTGGCATTGCTGAAGGAGGCAATAAAACCTTTTTTTTTTTTTTTGCCTACCAACAGATTCCCACCTCATAATCATCAGACTCCAGCAGATCAAAATTTCCAAAAGTACAATCCCCACATTTATCAAGTGGCTACACCAGGAAATAATTATCAGGGACATGCAGCAGGGAAACAAACGACAAAATAATTTTATTGCAGCATTCAGCCCTTCCACACCTAATTCTGAAAACAAATAAAAGGTGGGAGGCTCACATCATTTATTCTGCCTTCAGCAGCATCAGCTCTGCAGTCAGGATGCATCTCTCTGTAAGTATGCATGCTTTTCTTCCTTATGCACTGAAACTTTGATTCAGACCCATTCCTTTTTCTCTCTGAAGGGCTTCTGCCTCTGTGCAGCACTAAGGCTTTCTCTGGGGACACCGTGCTCCTCCAGAAGGAGCAGCTCAGCCCCTGTTCCCCAGAGGAGCTGAGGAGGGAAGGCTTTCTTCACGGCTTGGCTGCACATTATTCAGAAAGCAGGAAGCCTGATCCATGCCCATTGCTGTCAAGGCTTTTGCACCACTGCAGCACTGCACTCGTGCATCAAGCCCTCCCTGGAATGCCAGAGCAGAAGAAATGGAAAGGCTTTCTCCTCTTTACTCTTGTAGAATGCCTGTGTGTGCCTGCACAGCTCTGAGAAACAACTTGAGGTTCAGCTCGAGAGAGAGCAAGTGTGAAATGTGTCTGCTTTGAGCACCCTGGCGTAAAGCAAGGGTGCCTCCCTTTGGGGGCACTGGTGCAGTCCCAGGTTGAAAGCAACAAAAGGATCCAAGGAGGACCCTTGAACATCAGATTAGGAAAAGGGAAGGAGAAGTGTCATGACCAGATTTGTCAGCCAGAGTTGCAGTTACATTTTGTATTTGATTTTCATTTCAGATTTTGACTGCAGTCCTTCTAGGACTCGTCCTGACTCCAGCCCTTGCTGATTATGTGAGTACAAATGAACAATTTCCACATTGCTGCTCTTTCTGTGTTCCCTGCTTCAGAGATCTCCTTGAATCTTTCATTTTTCTAAAGCCTTGGGGAGAAAATCACTTGAAAGCCTAAGTGTTCTTTCGTTTGTTTTTCTAGCATCAACAGACTGAAGTAAGCAAGAAAATCTCCATTAGTGGAGGCTACCAAATTATGACCCTCAATAGGAAATGGCTGGTGGCAAGTATTGAGCAAAAGACCAACCATGAGTACTGGAAAACCATCTGGAACTATGACACAGTGAGTGCAGTCTCTTGTTCAGAGAGCGGCTCATACATTCAGTAAAAACTGTTTTTTACTTTAAAAAAATATGTATGAAATTCCAGTGTTAATGATTAAATTCCATGCGGTCAATAACTTCATTTTACAGGGCTTCATGGCAACCAAAGTGCTGCCAGAGAGAGCTTGCTACGTTTCCATAATGAACAGAACAGAGATGCCCAGCTTTGATGCCCTTCCCCAGCTGGCTGCAGACATCAGGGTAAGATTGAGAAGGAGCAGCTACTTGCAAAGTTGTACTTAATGCAAAGTGAGACCTTGCTATTTTCAAAACCAACAGGTACTTTAAAGACCAGGTTTCACACCATTAATTCGATATTTTTATCAATTTCAACGACATTTTACAACAATGTAACTTTCAGCTTTTGAAAATTGGAATACCCTTGTTCAGATGCTTCCATTGGCCAATGTTGTAGCTCAGTTAGATTATTCTTAAAATGTTTATGACAACTAGGAGTTAAACAGAGCAGGGCACTGATCTTGCTGAATGCTGGTGTTTGATGTTTAGAACCAGAACCGTCCAAGACCCCCTGCAAAGGAGATCACGTTCACCCTCGTCAGGAGAACCATTCGTGACCTCGAATCATATGGACCAGACATCTTCTCCATGTGCAGAGGGCTCTCAACTTACGTGGGTTATGAACTTCATGGTGAGTGCAAACAAAGGAATTCTGTCTCTGAGTGAGCTGGCATTTGTTTCCTGGGGGAATGAACAATGCACAACTGCTGCTCTTCCACCTCAAAACCCACAGAAAGCCAGGGCTGCAGCAGCTGCACAAAGAATTTGACATCTTTGCAGATCAGGACTGGAACAGGGTGGGGTCACAGCCCCCATAAATGACCCACAGCAAACCCTTACAACTTAATGGGGCTTAATTTTGGGCTCAGAGTGTTTTGGCCACACTGAGCTCCCCTGAAATACCCAGTCAATAAAAATGGTGTTTCTAAGCACCTCTGTCCTTCAGCTCAGAGCTGACTGCTGACTTAACCCAGAGCACTTAACAGCATCTTAGTCTGTCTGGTGGTAATTGTTTTTCTTTCCTTGTTTTTGAAGAACCCCAATCCAATCTCGGATCGTGCCTCAAGCTCGATGTCCTTCAATATCTGGCCCTCACCTACTGCCACAATGATAACTTTGTGTAAATCCTTTCCTGAGCCTCGTGGGATGCTCCAGCAGCAGCCTTGTAGCTGCTGCCCAAATCCAACCCTGCTGGAGTTATTCCCTGGCTTTCTTCTTCCAAGAGGTTCCTTCCTGAGGATTGAGTACTGGAACAGATCAGTTGGTGAGCAGAGCTTTCAATTAAATTCCTTCATCATGGAATAACTCCAGCCTGTTTGTCATTACTCTACACTTTTTCATCTAAGAACACCTCCACGAAAATATTTTGCTCCATTTGAGCCCTTTCACTGCTCTTTTCATCCCAGCACAGCCAGAGAGCTGGGCAAGGCACAAACAAGGCATTTACAGGCAGGACCTTCCCTCCCTGCCTGGGGAAAGATGCTTCACATTAAAAATCTAGGGGGCACAAAAGGCAGATAGAAAGAAGTGAAAAACAATGAATTTCTCTTTTTTTTAGGGGAAGGGAAGTCTCTTTTGTGGGATTTACAGAGTTGTTCTGTCCCTAACATAAAGCAAGGCTGGGATTCTTGTTGCTCAAATCTTTGAAAAATTACAGCAGTCCAGGGAAGAAAGAAATCCTCTTGGCCACTGAGTGTCAGCCTCGAGTTGCACAACTGAGATGGAAAAGGCACTCGATCCCACCCAGAGGAGCCCGCAATGCCACAGCCCCAGGAGAGTGCAGTGCTGCCACTTCCAGCTCAGCTGTGCTGAGTGACAGCACTGGAGACACAGCAGGGACTCCAAGGTGTCTGCAGCGGGCAGGAATTCCTGTGCAGAGATCATTTCATTGTGGGAATAACACTGGGAGTGTGGGGAGCTTCCACACGGTGCTGTAACAGCTTCCTGAGGTCCCCTGGAAAGCAGGGAGTGGGATTTTTAGATTTGACAAAAACCATTACCCATCAGCCAGGTCAGACCCCTGGGAGCCAAAGGGAAACACCCCCAGAGTCACCCAAAGGTGCTCCCAAACCCAAAGGCACCAGCTGGAGCTTGACTTTGCACAGCTGTGTGCAATTAAAACACCTCATTATTGACTAGAACACACTCAGCCTTCCCAAGGTCTCTCACACACAACCTGCAATCTTCATCACGGTTTTGTTTCTGGCATTTTTTGGGGGGTGGGGGGAAAGGGCAGACAAATTCCAACCCCCCTCCTGTGTCCCATGGGAGTGTTGGTGCTGCTCTTAGCAGATCATAAATACACAAAAATACACGCTCGAGGATTAGTCCTGAAGGAATTCAGAATTTCAGGGTGAAGCTCGGTGTTCCCCTTGGCCAGCAGCTCCCTCCACCTCAGAGCACTCACAGCTCCACCTGATGCTTCATTCCTTGGCTTTTCCCCAAGGAATCCTGGGCCTTGTGTCACCCTGACCCCACAGCTACACAGAGAATCTGATCTCCTCCTCCAGCTTTGCTCAGGGGTGTTTTAAAGACAAATGTAATGCTTTGAGCAGTGCAGGGCAGCAGCAAAGCCTGACACAGGGGCATTGCATCCCCTGAAACCCCCACTGAAGCTGCTCCACTCACCAGGGGTTGGCACTTAGGGGATTTGGGGTTGTTGGTGTGGCCTGAGGGTCTGGGAGGGAAATTTGGGAGCCCCTGGCACCTCCAGTTCAGCTTTTACTGGTACAGGGGCTCCCTCAGTGGGGAATGGTGATCCTTGTGAGCTCTCCTGTCTGTTTTTGGAGCCTGTGGTGCTGTTTGTTTAAAGACAAATGTAATGCTTTGAGCAGTGCAGGGCAGCAGCAAAGCCTGACACAGGGGCATTGCATCCCCTGAAACCCCCACTGAAGCTGCTCCACTCACCAGGGGTTGGCACTTAGGGGATTTGGGGTTGTTGGTGTGGCCTGAGGGTCTGGGAGGGAAATTTGGGAGCCCCTGGCACCTCCAGTTCAGCTTTTACTGGTACAGGGGCTCCCTCAGTGGGGAATGGTGCTCCTTGTGAGCTCTCCTGTCTGCTTTTGGAGCCTGTGGTGCTGTTTGTGGAAGGAGACAGGGAGAGTTTAGGCTTCAGAGGTTGAACTGAGTTTGGTGAGGGTGGTGATTTGGGGCAGGCTTTGATAAGCCCAGGCACTGCTGAGCAATGAGTGAGAAAATGCCAGGCGGGAAGCCTGGCATGGCTTTGCACTCCTGTGAAGTTGCCCCAAGATTCTAAAGGTCTTTAAACTCAGGTGTTGCCTGTGTGGGGAGCAGAGATGTCTTTGCACATCTCTTCTGCCTGTGTGGGGAGTAGAGATGTCATCTGCAATCTCTTCTGTCTTTGTGGGGAGGGATGTCTCTGCACATCTCTTCTGTCTTTGTGGGGAGCAGAGATGTCTCTGCACATCTCTTTGTCTTTGTGGGGAGCAGAGATGTCTCTGCACATCTCTTCTGTCTTTATGGGGAGCAGAGATGTCTCTGCACTTCTCTTTGTGGGGAGCAGAGATGTCTCTGCACATCTCTTTGTCTTTGTGGGGAGCAGAGATGTCTCTGCACATCTCTTCTGTCTGTGTGGGGAGCAGAGATGTCTTCTGCACATCTCTTTGTCTTTGTGGGGAGCAGAGATGTCTCTGCACATCTCTTCTGTCTTTATGGGGAGCAGAGATGTCTCTGCACTTCTCTGTGTGGGGAGCAGAGATGTCTCTGCACACCTCTTCTGTCTTTATGGGGAACAAAGATGCAGTGACAGGATGGGGGGAATGGCCTTGAGGGCAGGGTTAGGTGGGATTTTGGGAAGGAATTCCTCCCTGTGAGGGTGGGATGGAATTCCCAGAGCAGCTGCGGCTCCCTTGGATCCCTGGCAGTGCCCAAGGCCAGGCTGGACAGGGTTTGGAGCAGCCTGGGACAGCCGGAGGTGTCCCTGCCAGGGCAGGGGTGGGGTGGGCTGGGCTTTAGGTCCGTCCTAACTCAGCCTGGGCTGGGATTCCGTGCTGGGAGCGCTCAGTCCCGGCGCAGCTGTGAACGAGCTGCAGTTGCGGCCACGAGATGGCATTCTCTGAGCTTCTCTTGCTAAGGAAAAGCAGAGCTTGCCATCTTTAATAATGACAATAATAATTAAAGGGGGGGGGGGGGAAGCCACAAACCCTCCCTGCATTTTCTGAAGTCCGTGACAAAGCGAGATTTGTGAGGAGGCTGCTGCTGCTCCTGGCAAACAATGGTGCTGCTTTCCCAGAGCTGCGAGGGAGACTGAGGGTCAAGTCCCTTTAAAAAAAAAAAAAAAAAAGTGAAATACAGTATTGTGCATCTTGAAATCTGAAACCGAGAAACAGAAGTGCGAGGGAAACAAGGGGGAAAAGTCTTGCAATTCCTGTGGACAACTGTTGCGAGTGGAGTTTTAAGGAATACAATAATACAATATACATCTCTACCTTTTAAAGGCTATTGAATGGCTTTTGTGGAGAAACCTGCGAAATAAAGGAGCCTCGGAAGAAGAGATTTCTTTTTCTCCTCCTCTCTGGATATAATGGCCATTGCAAAGCAAAGCATCTTGAGATTTGGCTTCCAGTGTGCCTTCCTCGCAGTTTTTACCCTCACCTGCGATGGTCACGGGGGGAAGAGGGAGAACGGTGGCCCTGCCTGCTACGGAGGATTCGATTTGTATTTCATCCTGGACAAGTGAGTCAGTCCTGCTTTGTTCTTTCCCACTGAGCTCTTTCCCTGGGCACGGGCTGGTACCGAGGAGGTTTCCTTTGGATTTGGGTTTTGTAGGAGTCACTGTGTCCCCAGGGGACCTCTGCAGCTCCCGACTCTTGCTCTGTTGTTGTTGTGATAACTCTTTAGTAGGTCCCGTGCCTAAATCCCTTTGTTTTTATGTGATCACATCGTTACAGACTGTCCCAGGGTGGGAGCTTTGTGTGTGCTGAGCTCGAGTGGGCTCTCGAGTTTCTTCAAGCAGTGCCTGGGAGCAGGGCAGCACCCGGGACCCCTCTGCCTTCCCCCCGAGCCGGGGAGCCTGGGGCTCCCCCGAGAGCTGGGGGTGCAGGATTGTTCCTGCAGAGACCAACTGCAGGGCTGGGATGTGCAGGGAATGCAGAATTATTCTTGCAGGCACCAACTCCAGGGCTGGGATGTGCAGGGAAAGCAGAATTATTCCTGCAGGCACCAACTCCAGGGCTGGGATGTGCAAGGGGTGCAGGATTGTTCCTGCAAGCACCAATTCCAGGGCTGGGATGTGCAGGGAATGCAGAATTATTCTTGCAGGCACCAACTCCAGAGCTGGGATGTGCAGGATTGTTCCTGCAGGCACCAACTCCAGGGCTGGGATGTGCAGGATTGTTCCTGCAGAGACCAACTCCAGAGCTGGGATGTGCAGAATTGTTCCTGCAGAGACCAACTCCAGAGCTGGGATGTGCAGGATTGTTCCTGCAGGCACCAATTCCAGGGCTGGGATGTGCAGGATTGTTCCTGCAAGCACCAGCTCCAGGGCTGGGATGTGCAGGGAGTGCAGGATTGTTCCTGCAGAGAACAATTCCAGGGCTGGGATGTGCAGAATTGTTCCTGCAAGTACCAATTCCAGGGCTGGGATATGCAAGGAGTGCAGGATTGTTCCTGCAGAGAACAATTCCAGAGCTGGGATGTGCAGAATTGTTCCTGCAGAGACCAACTCCAGAGCTGGGATGTGCAGGATTGTTCCTGCAGAGACCAACTCCAGAGCTGGGATGTGCAGGATTGTTCCTGCAGAGACCAACTCCAGAGCTGGGATGTGCAGGATTGTTCCTGCAGAGACCAACTCCAGAGCTGGGATGTGCAGGATTGTTCCTGCAGAGACCAACTCCAGAGCTGGGATGTGCAGGATTGTTCCTGCAGAGACCAACTCCAGAGCTGGGATGTGCAGGATTGTTCCTGCAGAGACCAACTCCAGAGCTGGGATGTGCAGGATTGTTCCTGCAAGCACCAACTCCAGGGCTGGGATGTGCAAGGGGTGCAGGTTTGTTCCTGCAGAGACCAATTCCAGAGCTGGGATGTGCAGAATTGTTCCTGCAGGCACCAATTCCAGGGCTGAGAGGAGCAGGGAGCTCTGCTCGTGGCCCCGAGCTGGGTCCCTGCCCCTGTGCCCCCTGAGCAGCTCCAGGTACAAACCAGCCCAGAGAGGGGCTACTCCCCTGGGAGGGGGCTGAACTCAGCTGCTGGGATGGAGAGCAGCTCGAGAGCCTCTTTTAAAGAGCTTTCTTTTCCCTAGCTGAGTCACACTTTCTTTGTTTCTTCAGTTAATCAAATGCATATTTTGAGTGTTTAGCTGTTGTTGCTGAAGATAACTTCCTGCCTCACTTTTTCATCACTAATTGTGGCACTGTCACCTCCTTGGCACTGTAGGAGTGCTGCTTTTTGCAGATGTGGATGGAGCAATGTGGAATCATTTTGTGCTGAGCTTTGGAAAGCTACATACCAAAGCAATACAACAATTAAAAAAGAAAAAAAAAAGCTTTCAAAAATACTAGCTGAAATGGTTGTCCTGATTTTCTTGATCAAGAGCAGTTTTTTTGAACCAAAGGCTTGGAAACAGTGGAGGTGATGCCTGCCAGGGCCATGGCACTGACATGAACAACCATAAATTTCAGAGACAGGAAAGTATTTGCAAGTTGCCAAAAGCACTCGCAGACAAAGTTTCTGACTGATCCTCTGGAGTGTTTTGCAGTAGCTCCCACATTCCATCAGTGTAAATGACTTGGAATTACATAACCCTTTATTACAAAATACTGGGTGAAACCCAGCACTGAGACACTGGCTGCCTCAGTGTGCCAGTGGTCCTGATGCTCCAGGGGGAAGATTTATTTATTTTATTCAGTGGAAAGATCTGCCTGGCTCGTTCATTTTCAGTTATTCATTGGAATAACTATATTGCTACAAATGGAAAAAGCCTGAACCCAAACAAGCCCAGAGCATGATTTGTGCTGCAGAGAGCTTTTGTCAGCTGCATTTCCCTGGAAGCTGAAGCAGGACTGAAGGATTTCTCCCATCTCGTGGATGTGCTGTGTTACACCTCTGAGCTAATGCAACTTCAGCAGGTCCTTAATTCAAATTCTGTGCTGTTCCCCCACTAAAACCCATGAGTTCTGAGCCTCCCTCACAGGATGATGGATTTGGGTGCAAACACAAGCTTTAAAGCAGGCAGGCTGGCCCCAGTGTAGGTATCAAGGTATCCAACAAAAGCCTGCTCTGACAGCTGCAGAATTCCTGTTCCTGGGATTTTTCTGGTGCAGAAATGAACAGGATCTGATGTAAGAATTTCCTTGGAGGAGCACGGTGGCTTTTCAGCTGTTCCTGAGTAAAATGCACCCCTGGACCTGGTTGTTTAACCACTGGTGAGAGATTTACTGTGGTGGAGCTGGTTATCACATTTCCTTTAACCCCTTGATGGAATCACAGCATGGTTTGAGCTGCGAGGTCTCTAAAGCTCATCTGGTTCCACCCCCTGCCCGGGGTGAGGAACCTTCCAGAGACCATGCCTCTTGTCCTTTGATGGCAAAATCTCAAACTGTGTCTATTTTGCTCAATTTAGACTCAAGCTTTATGTTATTTAGAGTAGCTTTATGTTATTTGGAGTACTTTTAAGTTATTTGGAGTAGCTTTAATTTGCTGCTTGGAGGTGCTGCTTGCCCTTTAGAGGAGCTGTTTTCTGTTTAGGGTTGTGTCCTCTTTGCTGTGCTCACCTCTTTGCTGAGCACCTCAGGGTGAAGGTCACACCAAGATAAGCCCAGTGCTGTGGAATTTAGGCCTGGCTTACTGGCTGGTCCAGGGTGGTCTCTCCTTTTGTGTTCTGTGGTGCTGAGAGGATTTGTGGGCTCAGGCTCCACACACTGGAGGAGTTGGTGCCAAGGAATTAACACAGGGTGCAAATTCAGGTACAGAACAATGAGGAAAGCAGTGAGATGTTGCTAAAAAGCCCAAACGTTTGTCCTTGCTGACAAATTGTCCATTTTTTGTAAAAATATTCTCAATGTGATTAATTACTGCTGACTGTGACCACCCCAAGCTGACAGGGTGCCCAAACCTCCCCTCTCCCAGCACAGCTGGAATATTTGGGATTTTCTCAGCATCAGGCCTGCACCCAGAGCAAGGTGTGCATCTGGTTAGGGTGGCAGGACCTTGCAAGGATGTGGAGGGATGGTTTTTCTCTGTTAGCATGAGGGCTGAGGGATGCCAGCAAGGCAGGGTGGAGAAATTTGTGCATTTTTGTGCCTTTCTGCCTGAAGGAACATAATTAACTCCCAATTCTGCCAAGGGCAGGCAACTGCAGAGAGCTGAGCTCATGTGTGAAATCCCTGCCAGTCAGGACCTGTGGATGTGTTTTTTACCCAGTGATGCCTCTGGGATGAGCATTCCTGGTGAAAGGAATGGGCAGGAGCTCCCTTCCAGCCAGGACCGAGCGTGTGCCTGCAGCACTCTGCACTTTATCTGCTGATTAATAGAAATGAAGTCATGGCTTCTTGTTTATTAGTTGTTGGGTTTTTTTGCATACCCCCTGCCAGCCAGGAGGAGAGGAATGTTCTTGGACTGAGGCTGGGCTTGGAGGCTTGTCCTGCTCTGACCTGAGCCCCTGTGGGTCTGTGACCTGTAGGGTTTGGCAGTGAGCTGTCTGGTGTGGAGCGTGGCACGAGATAACAGCGTTTCCTCCAAGGATTGCATCACCTCTCAGAGCCTCTGTGCTCTGGAGGCCTCTCAGAACTGCTCCTGCAGGATCTGGGAAGGCAGAGGATGCTTTTGGGCTCATTTGTGTTGTTTCTGAAAAGCTCAATAAAGAGATGCTGCACAGCTTCTCAGGTAAATGGCATCTCTGAGAGCCACGAGACCTCTGGGAGTTAGTCCAAACCCAGGAAAGCTTAAGGAGATTTTTGGATCAACACCAGCCTCTGAACCAAGTGTCTTCATGTCCTCCTGCCAGCTGCAGAGCACTTCACTCACGTGAGGTCTTGGTGTAGGAGTGTGGGCTTCATTCTGTGACCCTTCTGGATGGTGACCTGGATAAACCCACAGCTCCTCCGAGAGGTGCAACAGCAGCAATGGAAAAGTGGAGTCTAAAAAGTGCAAGGAGGACCAAGGCTGGGGAGGCTGGAGCTGCTGCAGCTCTGGGTTCTGGAGCACCTTGTCCCAGTGAGGAGGAAGAGGAGGAGGGCACCTGCTGAAGGGCAGGAGCCACTGCAGTGTCTCTCTCCACACCTGCATTCCCCTTAAGGGTACAAAACTCTGGAGATGGCCACTGAATGTCTCACTCTCTTGTTAAAGAGAATGGTTCACTTGGGTTTAATTTCCATTTATTGGGCCCTTCTCCAGAAGAGATTCTGGCATCCTCAGGATGAGTCTTTTCTTAAATTGCAAGTTTAAAGCATCAGCCATTCAGCTGCAAAGCCCTGGCTCGCTGATCATCTTGTTCCTTCTGGGAATATGAGGAGAGAACTATTTGAAAATTGGCTTTTCTTATCTTACAGTTGGACTTTAGAAATGCTCATGCTACTCAGAGTTCTTGTCCTGCCTCACTGTGCAAAGGAAGTGTCCTTTAGAGTGTGGCTGCTGGATGACACAGCTCGGGGAGGTGGGCACTGAGCTGGTGCTGCTTTTGTGAGCTTTGCACTGGCTGCAGAAAGCTTGGTTGTGTTGGTTTGTCCATTTTTGCTGTTTGTGTTGGGTTTATCCATTTTTCCTGGTTGTGTTGGCTTTGTCCATTTTTCCTGGTTGTGTTGACTTTGTCCATTTTTCTTGTTTGTGTTGGTTTGTCCATTTTTCCTGGTTGTGTTGGCTTTGTCCATTTTTGCTGGTTGTGTTGGTTTGTCCATTTTTCCTGTTTGTGTTGGTTTGTCCATTTTTGCTGGTTGTGTTGACTTTGTCCATTTTTCGCTGTTTGTGTGGCTTTGTCCATTTTTCCTGGTTGTGTTGGCTTTGTCCATTTTTCCTGTTTGTGTTGCCTTTGTCCATTTTTCTTGTTTGTGTTGGTTTGTCCATTTTTTCTGGTTGTGTTGGCTTTGTCCATTTTTCCTGGTTGTGTTGGCTTTGTCCATTTTTCCTGTTTGTGTTGGTTTGTCCATTTTTCCTGTTTGTGTTGGGTTTGTCCATTTTTGCTGGTTGTGTTGAATTTATACATTTTTTGCTGGTTGTGTTGGCTTTGTCCATTTTTCCTGTTTGTGTTGGTTTGTCCATTTTTCCTGTTTGTGTTGGTTTGTCCATTTTTCCTGGTTGTGTTGACTTTGTCCATTTTTTGCTGTTTGTGTTGGCTTTGTCCATTTTTTGCTGGTTGTGTTGGCTTTGTCCATTTTAGGCCGAGTGAAGAACGTGAGAAGTCTGAAGTGTGATTCAGAAAATGCACTTTATTTACAAGGAGTGTTTTTTCCTAAGTGCAGGCCTGGGCATTTCTGGCCCCTGACAGGAGAGGGAGAAAAGGACTCCAGGCAGGCTGAGCAGTCTGGCCCAGGTGGGAATGGCTGTGCAGGAAGGACAGTGTGTGCTCTGCAAAAGAGTGAACCTTCATTTTGGGAGGTGAATGTATGGTCTAAAGTGACATTTGGTTCACTGAAGCAAGGATTAATTGGTTTCTGATTAACCAAGCCTTGCTCTCCATGTCTTCTGGAGACTGATGTGACCCTTGCTATAAAGTCAAGTGGTTTTTATGCCTCATCACCTAAAGACAATAAATATTTCTTTTCCAGGCCAGTTCTAGGAAATTACTTGTGCCTGGAGTGCCTGTGGAATTCAAGCTCTCTGAGTTATCCCATCCATCCAAGGGGAATTTGCACCTGGGGCTGAGCTCTGTGTGTCTCTGTTCTCTCAGTTTGGGGTTTGCACGCAGCAGGGTTTGAGTTTCCTGTCTGAGAGCAAGTCCTGCTGTGTGTCACCCCTCACCTCTTATGATGCCAATTTTCCCTCTTGACTGGTTTATCAAGAACTTTGCTCTTTGGTGTTCCTTTGCTCCTCCTTGATAAACATTTGTGTGTGTTGGAAGCCATCGTGCCACGTCCTGGGCTGAGGAAAGAAAGGAAGGAAGAATTCAGCACTGAGAGCACCTGCTGCTGATGCTGGGTGTCTGGAAGGCACCTTAAACTCATCAAAAGTGATGCTTTTGGGCTCCAGTCCTTTGTGCAGCAAAGCACAGGGTCAGAGGTTTTGCACAGAGCCTGGATTTTTTTTATACCTGAGCAAAGGTCCTCATTTGGGCTGGTGTGTGGGGTTTTTTTAAGAGCTCAATAAAGAGATGCTGCACAGCCCCACAGGTAAATGTCATCTCTGCATGGACAGAGGGGGGTCACACAGGGAAAGGAGCTCCAGGAACTGTGGAGCAGGAGGGAATGGCTGAGAATGGAAAGCAGCTGTGGGGGAAGGGGCAGGAAATGTCTGGGACCCCCAGGATGAGCTCTGCATGCTCCTCTGCAGGTGCAGCATTTATTATTATTATTATTATTATTATTATTATTATTATTATTGCCTCTCCACTGGCATTAAATAAATAAATAATAATAATAAATAGCAATAAACCATGGCATTGCACCCTGTGGTTTATTCCCTGAGCAGCCAGGCTGGGGACCTGCTCTGCCTCTCCACTGGCACCCCCAGAGCTGAGCCAGCACAGAGCAGCTCCTTGGCCTTTCCTTCCTGGGAAGTGAAAAACCATCTCAAACATTCACCTTTTCTTCCTCAGGCTGCAGATCAGTGAAGTTTCTGTTGAAGCTGGAATGGTTCTTTCCCCTATAAATATTTCTAATTGTACTCAATGAATTGAATAAGTGATGACACATTTATTTTCCAACTCTAGGAAAGAAATTTTTTCCCCAATATTAATATTCCAGCATTCACAGGAGTGTTTATGCCAGAAGGGGCATTTTGTGCTGAAAGATTCTGATTAACCTAATTTTTTCCTCGTTCTTACAACATAAAGAAGAATAAACCAACCCCATTACACCCCGTGGTTTATTCTCCTGAGGAGCAAATTTAGTTTGTTTTGTCTTTAACTGAGGTGTAAAAGAATTAACCAGAGCAGCTGAGATGTGGACTAAGGTGTTTTACTTCTCATAGTCTCTGGCACAGTGGAAACACTGGAGGAGTTTAATAATCTGTTCCTCCAACTGCATGTAATTCTCAGAATACACTTGAGCTAAAAGCCCTGTGCAATGGTTTGGAAGTGAGTGGGTGGAATTAATCTAAAACATTGTGCAGAGAGGCAGCTCCTCACTCACAGGGGGTTTATTTGGTTAAAGCTGTGTTAAAGCCCAGCCTAACTGCCCTAAGCTGCTGCCAAGGGCAGCCTCAAAGCCTTGCATGGAGCGGGAATGATTCCTGCTTCTCAAAGTCGAGTAGGAAATGCCAATTCCAGTTTGATCTCCCTGGAGGAAGAGCAGGGGCAGTGGGTGTTGAGCAAAGTGAAGCAATGTGGGACAGAGAAGTGACCCTGTCACCCTTGTGTCCCCAGGTCAGGCAGCGTCCTGCACCACTGGAACGAGATCTATCACTTTGTGGAGCACCTGGCCCGCAAGTTCATCAGGTAAGGAGGGCCCGGGGGGTCCCAGTGCCTCCCAGTCCCTGCTCTTCCCGTGGGGAATGTGGTGCAGAAAGGGCTCTGGGGCTTTCCTCCCATCCTCTACTGACCCCCCTCCTGCTCCGTGGGCAAGGGGGCAGATGAAATAATTCCATTTATTCCTGCCTGCCTTCCCTGGGTCAGAGCTGGGGGGCAGGAATCCTCCTGTCCCTGAGCTGCAGGAGTTTGGGGCTGCAGGGAGAGCCTGTGGCCGTGGCTTCCAGGCCCTGGAGGAGGAATCCCTGGGGACAGGGCACGGAATGTGTTGTGACAAACACCACGAGCCCTCCCTTGTCTCAGGATGCATTTAACCTTTGCTGCTTTAACAATCCCAAGGCTGTGATGGCAGTGTTCTCTGCATCCTTTACAAGGGTTCCCCAAGGTTTCCCTGGGCTAACAAAGCCCAGGGCAAAACACATTTTCATGCTGTTGAGCTGTAACTGGGCTGGCAGGGTGTGATTGTGTCACACACACAGAGCTGTACTCTGACCACTTCATTAATTCACTTTTTTCTCTCCTCCAGCCCTCAGCTGAGGATGTCCTTCATTGTTTTTTCAACCAGAGGGACAATTCTAATGAGGTTAACAGAAGACAGGTAAGGAGAAGTTTAAAGGTCAACAGCAGCTTCTGTGTCCTTGGAGCTTCCTTCACCCTCCTCAGTGATTTCTATCCCACTGGGAACGTGTTGTGGCACCTCTGTGCTTCCCAACTGCACTGGTAGAGCCCATCCTCACTGCTAGAATGCACTAAGGCCTCTCAGGGCAGAGGTTCCCTGCTTAATTCCAACTCCTAAAAGTCCTTCAGTCAGGGTTTCAGCTCACACTGGTTTCCTTGAGGGAGCCTGCACTGCCCAGGGATTCAGGATTTTGTCAGAGAAGCAGACTCAGTGCCTGTGCAGCATCCTCTGGGAGTTTCTCCAGCAGATAGGTGAAACTCCTTTCCCATAAAAGCAGGCTTGGAAGGCAGAGGTGACACCCACGCTCCTGGCTAGAGGGGAATGTGATTTCCTCGAAGGTCTGAAGGTGTGTCACAGCCAAAGAGAGTTTGGGGTGGATTTTTTGGCAGTACCAGATTGCCTTGTTTGTGAAGCGTATCCCTGCCACCCCCTTACAGACCCCCAAGTTAATCCCAGGAAAATCCACAGGATGGATTTTTTTTCTTTAATTTTATTATTTTATTCTGACTTCCAAGGAGAGCTGGATGAGGTCCTTAAATCGCTCTCGCTTCCTCTGTTAACTTCATTGCCACGTGGAGCAAAAATATACATCCCACATGTGTGGAGTGTATAAGTCAGCATGTGTTTTACATCTTGGATGGCTGAAATCACATACCAGAGCAGCTGCCATGGGGAGGAAGCTGGCTGCCTTCCTACAGAGCAGTGCACACTCACAGCAGCCTTGAAAATGCCCTTAAACCCAGGCAGCCTGAGCATCTCCTGCCACTTTCTGCAGCGACAGGGATGAAAAGAACAATCCACATTTATTTCATGGCTGCCAAAGCAAAAGCTGTTCTCTGCCTCTTGCTGTCCCACCCTGGGAGCAAACCCCACTGCAGGGATCTCCTTTCTGCTCAGGCTCTGAGACTGAAATGTTCCCCGTGTGGGAATGTATTCCATATTTACCCAGCTGTCTCAGAAATGCTGGCTGGGAGCAGGATTGCTGTGGGATTGCTCTCAGAGCCAGCTGGGTTTTACTGGGCACTGCCAAATGAGGGCTGTGCTGGCCTCTCTCACCTGGGAGAGCTTCCCTGCCTCTGTGGGGTGTTTCAGCTGAATTTGAGGGTGCTGAGAATTCCTTTTGGCAAAACTCTAACGGGTCTGGACTGACAAATTTTAATGACTTTGGCTGCATACTTGAAAATGTCAGTATTAACCTCTCAGAAATAGTTTGGATCACAGGGAATGCTCCATTTTACACCCAGCTTTGCTTTGCCCTGAGAGGAGGAACCTTGTGAGAGTGTCTGACTAGCCTGGGCTCTCACAGGTGGAAAAATGGGTTTTTGGAAGTTTGATAACTCAGGTAAAAGCAGCCTTTGCTCCCCAGGGGGTCTCTGCTGTGCAGACTGAGCAGCCAGCCTCTGAGCGTGAGCTCTGGCTGTGTGAGCACACCAACTGCCCTTTCTGAAGGGGTTAAAAAGTGACTCCTGGCACACCTGTGTGGCCCTGCAGTTTGCTCAGGTACACCCCACACTGCAGACTTTTATCCTGCTTTGAGGGCTCCTGGTCTTTGCTTGGCTGCCAGAGTTTGGTGTCTGTCACTCAGAGCAACAACAAATCGCTGCCCTGGTCTGCCACCGTGCCTGGCACCCCTGGAAGGAGCTGAACCACACACCCTGAGTCACAATAATCCCTTGGGAAAGGCTTCAGGCTCCCAGACAGCTGGAGCAGGAGCTGGAGATGCAGCTCCACACAAACTGGAGGTGCCAGCACGCTCTGTGCCATTTTCTGCAGCTGGCTGATGATGTTTGCGTGCTCAAGGCAGCAAACGGGTGAGGAGAGGGAGCCAGGTGCAAGTCAGCTGCTGAGCTTTGAGCAGGGAATATTTATTTAGGAAGAAATGTAAGAAATGTGTGGATGTTGCCCTCGGGGATGGTGCTGCTGGGCTGCTTTCCCCAGGCACTGGGAGCACTGGGGGGAGCACAGCTCTGTGTTCCACATCCTCGGGGAGGCACCCACCCTGTGCAAACACCGGGGTAACTCCTGCTCCCCCTCTGTGCCCTGCGTGCCAGGACAGCCCAGGGTCCCTCAGCCACCTCTGCTGGGTGCAGGACACCCTGGTGGCCTTCTGCTGGGTGTCACAGTGCCAGGACACCCTGGTGGCCTTCTGCTGGGTGTCACAGTGCCAGGACACCCTGGTGGCCTTCTGCTGGGTGTCACAGTGCCAGGACACCCTGGTGGCCTTCTGCTGGGTGTCACAGTGCCAGGACACCCTGGTGGCCTTCTGCTGGGTGTCACAGTGCCAGGACACCCTGGTGGCCTTCTGCTGGGTGTCACAGTGCCAGGACACCCTGGTGGCCTTCTGCTGGGTGTCACAGTGCCAGGACACCCTGGTGGCCTTCTGCTGGGTGTCACAGTGCCAGGACACCCTGGTGGCCTTCTGCTGGGTGTCACAGTGCCAGGACACCCTGGTGGCCTTCTGCTGGGTGTCACAGTGCCAGGACACCCTGGTGGCCTTCTGCTGGGTGTCACAGTGCCAGGACACCCTGGTGGCCTTCTGCTGGGTGTCACAGTGCCAGGACACCCTGGTGGCCTTCTGCTGGGTGTCACAGTGCCAGGACACCCTGGTGGCCTTCTGCTGGGTGTCACAGTGCCAGGACACCCTGGTGGCCTTCTGCTGGGTGTCACAGTGCCAGGACACCCTGGTGGCCTTCTGCTGGGTGTCACAGTACCAGGACACCCTGGTGGTTTTCTTCTGGGTGTCACAGTGCCAGCCAGGACACCCTGGTGGCTTTCTGCTGGGTGTCACAGTGCCAGGACACCCTGGTGGCTTTCTGTGGCTCTGACAGTGCCTGCCTTCCTTGCAGGGAGCAGATCCGCCAGGGCCTGGAGGAGCTGCAGAAGGTGCTGCCAGGAGGGGACACGTACATGCACGAAGGATTTGAGAGGGTAACTCTGGATTTGAGGGGCAGGCTCAGGGCTGGGCAGGCTCTCTGTCCCTCAGGAGCTGTCCAGCACTGGGGATGGGTGGAAATTCCCCGGTGGGTGAGTGGGACCCTGTCCCTTTGCTGCAAGGGCTCCGTGCTGGAGCTGCAAACTCTGCTAATTCTCTTTATTTCTGCCTTTTTCTGCTTAGGGGAAGGCAGTGGCTCTGTGTCCAGGAGGGGTGGGAAGCTCTCAGTCCCACCTGGGCTGAGGTCACAGCTCACACCTGGGGTGGCCAAGTAACTGCAGACCTTATTGCCTTCTCCTCTGGCAGGTTTTTTATATATTTTACCAGCTCAGGCGTTTCTCTACAGCTGAGCTCCTTCACTCCCTCCCACCTCTGTCCCACGTGGAATTTGGGAGGGGTTTGGGCTGTTGAAAGTGCTGTCCCACCACTGAAATGACAGAGCAGAGCCTCAGGTGAAAGAGCAGAGCTGTTGGTTTATTTGCAGCTGGAATAATTGATCTGGAGCTTGAGGAATATTTAGCACTGATGTTTAGGAATATTTGGAAATATTAGCCTAGGGTGTTTCTCAGGGATGAAAGTGGGTAGGGTTTTCAGAGTGGGAGACAGCTCTGGGGCTGATTTTGGGACCTTGCAGGAATGAAATCAGAACCCCAGGCTGTGAAACCCTGCTCTGAGAACCAGACAGCAGAGCTGCAGGTGTGACACCCCCACTGCCACTGTCCCTTCCTTTCTGCTGCACAAATTGTTGTTCACCATTATTATATTCACAATTATCCTGTTGTTGATTTACTGCTGATAATCTTCTGGTCTGATTTCAGGCAAGTGAACAGATTTACTACGAGAATGTTCACGGTGAGAGCCCTTCTTGACCCATTTAATGTTGTTCTTTTTTTTCTCTTTCTTTTTGACTGAAAACTTTAACAGATCTAAAATGCAGCTTTGCTGTGGGAAGGGTGGGGTGGCCTCTCTTCTTGCAGGGATGTGATGTTAGTCAGGGAAGTATTACTGAAAGGGAAAAAGAGCAAGTGGAGCTTTGAGGAGCTGGAATTAAAGTGTTTCAGGCCAAAAGGGGGAAGCCAGGCTGGCTGCAGGTTCCCACCCTCACCAAAACTGGCACCTCACTTTTTCTGGAGGGCTCAGGCAGCCATTTCTTCTTCCTTCTGAAACAAAAATACACGGAGAAGCTGTTAGGTAAAAGATTTTCTTAACCAGCAATTATTAAAACCAACACTAAGTGCAGACAACTGGAAAAATGTCCTTTCCTTCCCTGTAATTGATGTAAAAACTTTCTGGTTTGGAAGGGAAGGCTGCAAAGCTTTAATGATGTTCCTGATGTAGCTCAGGAATCTTGAGGATTTCAGGCCCTTTCCCCACCATCTTTGTGTAAATCCCAACTGAGCTTTTTGTCACAAGCTGAAAAAGCCCCTCTGGATTTCTTGAGCTGAATAAAACCAGGAGCAAATTGCACTGGGTTTTTGATGGCTGCAGTCTCACTCCCTGGCCTGAAGCTGCAGCAGGGCTGTGCCCTGTGGGCAGGATGTTTCCTGGGGTGGTTCAAGCAGCACAGCAAAGGCAGGCACTAAGGAGGTTTGTGTGTTCAGGTTACAGAACTGCCAGTGTCATCATTGCCTTGACAGATGGAGAGCTCCACGAGGATCTATTTTTCTACTCTGAGAGGGAGGTAAGTGACTTGCACTTCGTAGTCAGGGAGACACTGCAATGTCTGGGCTTGCTGCAGAACGCAAAGGATGAGGAAAACCTTTTTTCCCCGGTGAGAAATCTCCACTTTGGTGCTCTGCAGACAGGAATGCAAAGGATAACCACTGACAGCAGCAGCCTCTGACTCACCCCAGCTGAGACTGTTCAGGGAAAGGAGAGGGGTTAAAACTTCCAGTTAAAAATAAACACAGAAGAAGGAATTGTTCACAGCTGAAAAGTTTCAGTGTTTACTGCATTGCTCTGGGAAAATGCTGAATATTTTCACTTTCATTTTTTTCCCTCTCACACAAAGTCACGACTGCAGAAAAGGGGGTGGTGGCTTCTGTCACATTAAAAAACCTTCAGCTCACCAAGTCTGACATTTCCACAAATATCTCTGGGGTTCAAGCACACATTCTCAACATCTTATTAAATTAGTGAACTGTGCAAAGTGTCAAACAGAGGGGTGAGCACTGAGAGCTTTGGACATCCTCCCTGCAGAGATGAACAATTGGCACTTGCCAGTCAAACCAGGATGACCTAAACTTGGCAGAGGGAATTTCTGCATGGGTTTGCTATGGACAGAATTTTTCCTCTCAGTCTGTCCAAAGTGCAGCATTAAATCCAATAACAACAAAAAGAATGGGTTTGTAGAGTAAAACCAACAAACATTCTGAATCTCCAGCTCCTGTCCTTACAGTTCATCTCTTTTTATTTCCCTTCTGAAATAAAAAAATCCGCAAGAAAAACAAGTTTGCTTTTAGAGGTGAGTGAGCAAGTTGAAAGGTCAGCAGTGTTATATTTGTTTTGGTTTGGGGAGGAACAGTTCTGGGCTGTGGAAGGAGATCCTGAACTTGCTCTGTGAGTTGCTCCAGGTGTTTGGGCTGGAGCTTCCCAGAGTAAAACTGGGATGATGCTTTTCTGCTCAAAAAGCTCTTTGCTGTTGAACTTGCAGTGCTGCAGCCTTCCCACTCAGTCTGACTCACTAGCAGCTCTTCTGGGAAGGAGTTTTCAGTCAGGTCAAGTGTTCTTGTTCTGCTGAAATCCAATTAAATTACTGCACTCGTACCCAGGCATTTGGAGCAACAGTAAATGCAATTTCAGTGAGGCAGCAGGAAAAACAAACCCGTGGCTGCTCTCCCTTCAGCTCAGGGTGCTGTGTGAGCACTGGAGTGATGCAGTTTTGGGGCAGGTGGAATGGAGCCTCTCTCACCTCTGGGTGTCAGGCACACCTGTCTGAAATAACACACAAAAGCATTTTAGGTCACTGTTATGTGGGATGTGCCCTAAACGAGGAAAAGAAAATTGATTCAGCCTGTTTGACCTCTCTTGGGAAGCTGGAGGAGCTAGGAAGGTGAACTAATTAAGTTTTAAAAATCCCCCAAATAGCTGGGAGTTGCTTTACTAAACAACAGCAACTCTGGCAGGAGATAAAACCCTGATTTTACACAACTGGGAGGAAAACTTTTCAAGTGCTTTTCTGCTAGGCTCCCCCTTTGCTGATTCTACAGAAAAAGGGTGAATTTATGGTTAGGAGCTCTGGGGAAGCCTCACAGAGGGCACCATTCATTGCTGGCCAGGGTTTATGTACAAATCACAGATGGGATGGGAGAACATCTCTGGAGCTGTTTTATTTGCCAGCATCAGCCTCATTCCATGGTTATGGCAATGGGAAGATGCCAGCAGCTCACATCCCTGGCAGCAGACACAGAACTCAGTGTTACAACTGGCTTTAAAAGTTTTTTGGACCAATCACACAAAGCAGAAGCACATTGACAGTGGTTCTACCCAACCACTATAAGCACGTGTACCTTTGGTTAAAACAATGCTTGCTTATTTTGAATACAATTCCTGCTTGAGGGCATTAAAACACAATGCACAGAGCTCCATTATTAAGCTTAGAACTTGCTAATATCTTGCTAGACAGACTTTTCTGCAGCTTAGGGAGTTATTCTAGACAAGAGTTAAAGCACCGTTGTTCTATTTGTCCTTACTTTCTACATCTCATATAACTTTTCTGCTGGCAAATCTCACGGCTCCTGCTCAACTCTAAATGCAGTTCTGCCGTCCCTGAGGCCTGCCCTTTGCAGCTTTCCCAAATCCCTGTGATTTTTGAGGGTTCCCAGGCTGTTGGTGACCGTGCTGTGCCTCCTGTCCCCTGCAGGCCAACCGCTCTCGGGACCTGGGGGCCACCGTGTACTGTGTGGGGGTGAAGGACTTCAATGAGACCCAGGTGAGAGCCCCAGCCCTGAGAGCCTGGCAAAGCCTGCCCCACTCCCTGAGCCCCCTGAACCCCCTGAACCCCCTGCTCAGGCTCCTCCAGGGGTTCCCTCTCCTCCTGTTCCTGTCTGGAGCACCCGGCGTGGCTGGGTCCTGTTGGGTTTGGTCATTTCTGTCTCAATCTGCCCCTCTGCCTGCCCCAGCTGCTCCTGCAGCCTTCCCACTCAGTCTGACTCACTAGCAGCTCTTCTGGGAAGGAGTTTTCAGTCAGGTCAAGTGTTCTTGTTCTGCTGAAATCCAATTAAATTACTGCACTCGTACCCAGGCATTTGGAGCAACAGTAAATGCAATTTCAGTGAGGCAGCAGGAAAAACAAACCCGTGGCTGCTCTCCCTTCAGCTCAGGGTGCTGTGTGAGCACTGGAGTGATGCAGTTTTGGGGCAGGTGGAATGGAGCCTCTCTCACCTCTGGGTGTCAGGCACACCTGTCTGAAATAACACACAAAAGCATTTTAGGTCACTGTTATGTGGGATGTGCCCTAAACGAGGAAAAGAAAATTGATTCAGCCTGTCTGACCTCTCTTGGGAAGCTGGAGGAGCTAGGAAGGTGAACTAATTAAGTTTTAAAAATCCCCCAAATAGCTGGGAGTTGCTTTACTAAACAACAGCAACTCTGGCAGGAGATAAAACCCTGATTTTACACAACTGGGGAGGAAAACTTTTCAAGTGCTTTTCTGCTAGGCTCCCCCTTTGCTCATTCTACAGAAAAAGGGTGAATTTATGGTTAGGAGCTCTGGGGAAGCCTCACAGAGGGCACCATTCATTGCTGGCCAGGGTTTATGTACAAATCACAGATGGGATGGGAGAACATCTCTGGAGCTGTTTTATTTGCCAGCATCAGCCTCATTCCATGGTTATGGCAATGGGAAGATGCCAGCAGCTCACATCCCTGGCAGCAGACACAGAACTCAGTGTTACAACTGGCTTTAAAAGTTTTTTGGACCAATCACACAAAGCAGAAGCACATTGACAGTGATTCTACCCAACCACTATAAGCACGTGTACCTTTGGTTAAAACAATGCTTGCTTATTTTGAATACAATTCCTGCTTGAGGGCATTAAAACACAATGCACAGAGCTCCATTATTAAGCTTAGAACTTGCTAATATCTTGCTAGACAGACTTTTCTGCAGCTTAGGGAGTTATTCTAGACAAGAGTTAACGCACAGACCGTTGTTCTATTTGCCATTACTTTCTACATCTCATATAACTTTTCTGCTGGCAAATCTCACGGCTCCTGCTCAACTCTAAATGCAGTTCTGCCGTCCCTGAGGCCTGCCCTTTGCAGCTTTCCCAAATCCCTGTGATTTTTGAGGGTTCCCAGGCTGTTGGTGACCGTGCTGTGCCTCCTGTCCCCTGCAGGCCAACCGCTCTCGGGACCTGGGGGCCACCGTGTACTGTGTGGGGGTGAAGGACTTCAACGAGACCCAGGTGAGAGCCCCAGCCCTGAGAGCCTGGCAAAGCCTGCCCCACTCCCTGAGCCCCCTGAACCCCCTGAACCCCCTGCTCAGGCTCCTCCAGGGGTTCCCTCTCCTCCTGTTCCTGTCTGGAGCACCTGGCGTGGCTGGGTCCTGTTGGGTTTGGTCATTTCTGTCTCAATCTGCCCCTCTGCCTGCCCCAGCTGCTCCTGCTAAAAGAGGGAAAAAAAAAAAACAGGGTAAAGGCACAGGGGGAAGCAGCAAATTGTCTGAGCTGGAGGAAGGAAGATGTGGGGGTGTTTTTCCCCATAAAACCCTTCAGCTTCAGTGCAGATTTTCTTTCAGGGGAAAGCCATGCTGTAAAATCAGCTTCCTTAGTGGGAAATATTGCACAGGGTTTCGTCTGGATTCTAAGTTCCTCATTTGAATATTAGTATGTCCATGAATTCTATTTCACACAGCAACAATTGACATTTTTCTGAATGAGTGGAGCACCTGCACAGCCCCACTGCACGCAGGCAGAGGCTGGAAGACTTTTCCCAGATTTTTCAGCTTTTAGAAAAGGAGTCAAACCACACTGGGTTTAGAACAACCTCCCTTGGATCAAACCCAGAGACTGGCGTGACCCAAAGTAAGCCACAGGAAAAGCCAGGAGGAGATAAAAACGTGACAGAGACCAGACCTGAGGCAGCAGAGCCCAGACAGCTGCTCCTTGAAGTCACAGGTGGTGACAAAATGAGCTGGAATGACATGGCTGTGCCTGCAATCCCAGCAGGGATGAGCTGTGAACATTGATGATGAACTTTCCTAAAGATCATTATCCCCTGGGGTACAGTGAAAGCCACACTCTGTCTTGTCTCCAAGTCCTTTCTGATCCCTGATACGGAGTTTTATAAAGGCAATCATGCTAACAAGACAAACATTTTGCTGCTTAATAAACCACATTACAGTGGCAATCCAGAGAGAGCAGCTTTGAGGGTTTTATTTGCAAGCGAGTTAAGTCTGGAGAAGTCTTAATTAGCTGCCTGCAGCCTAATTGATCTCACCCTTTGCATTTCTGTTCCTTTTCCTCCCCCTGTGGCAGCTGGCCCGGATTGCTGACAGCAGAGATCATGTCTTCCCTGTCAACGATGGCTTTGAGGCCCTGCAGGGCATCATAGACTCTGTGAGTATTTTCAGTATTTTCACCCCAGTGTTTCACTCTTGGTGTCACCCTGAGGTTTGGTTTTCCTGTGTTCGCCAGAACCTGCTGGAAAATAATTCACTGAATAACTCAGTCCAAGGGAACCAGCCTTGGTCTGGGCTGAAATGCTGCTTTGAGGTACCCAGGTTTCCCTGTTCCCAGTTCCTGTGGTGCCTTGGGAAGGCTGAGCTAGAGCAGGGTTACAGAATAAAGCAGGGATTTATGAAAAGGATCTCCTCAATGGATCCACCTTGGGCAGCACAAGAGCCCAGCCAGGGCTGCACCCAAAGTGAACCAAAATGGGCATGAAATGAACCCAAGGTGAACCAAAATGGGCACAAAATGAACCCAAGGTGAGCCAAAATGGGCACAAAATGAACCCCAGGTGAACCAAAATGGGCATAAAATGAACCAAAGGTGAACCCAAATGGGCACAAAATGAACCCAAGGTGAACCCAAATGGGCACAAAATGAACCCAAGGTGAACCAAAATGGGCACAAAATGAACCCCAGGTGAACCAAAATGGGCACAAAATGAACCCAAGGTGAACCCAAATGGGCACAAAATGAACCCAAGGTGAACCAAAATGGGCACAAAATGAACCCCAGGTGAACCAAAATGGGCACAAAATGAACCCAAGGTGAACCCAAATGGGCACAAAATGAACCCAAGGTGAACCCAAATGGGCACAAAATGAACCCAAGATGAACCAAAATGGGCACAAAATGCACGACCGCTCACGAGGTCTGTCACTTTGATCAGTTCTGCTCCATTTGCATATTGCAGTTAATTGTCCAATTACAGATCTAGGTTATTATGAAGTCCCATCCTCCTTGTTTTCCCCTCTTCATTCCACCATTGTTTGTGCTCTTGGGTGAGATTTGGGTGGTTGTCCTTAATCCCCAGCTAGAGAAGGAATTGTTTTGTCTCCCTACCCTGAGAAGGGAGCTCACAACACTTAACACAAAGCTCAGGACTGCACACTAAAACAGCACAGAAGCTGAAAAATACAAAAGTTAAAACTGAAGGCATGAGCTGGCATTTCCTGCAGGGATTGGGAGCAGCATGTGAGAGCTCCAGAGGCTGGGCTGATTTGGGTGCTTCCCCTGGCTCCAAAGGATGGGAAATCCCTCTGTGGGGATTTCTGTGTTCTCATTTTGGGTGACAAAACCCAGATGAGAGCTCCAGCGTGGAGCTGGGCAGGGAGCACTCCCTGGGGGGCTCAGATTTCTGTGTTTACTGTGGTCACACACTATTTGGACAATGCAATTCCAGCAAAACCCTTCCCTCAGCACAGGCTCAGTTTTCCCATTGCTCTCACATGGAATGGAACCCAATCCTGGTTTATTGGTTTTCCTGGCACTGCCTGAGCCTGGATCTACTGCCTGAGCTCTCTTGGACAGTCAGGTGCTGCTTGTCGTTTCAGAAAGCAGCACAACAACAACAGCAAAGCAATGGTTTGCTTCCCAGCCCTGCATTCCCCCTGCAGCTGTTTTTAATGAATCCCAGCTCTGCCTCCCCTGCCAGTTGTGCTGAGCAGGATTTCAGCCTCCAGGCAGCCAGGCAAGAGCTGCTCCAGCTGAGTGGGGCAAGATTTCCCAGCTTGGCAAGGAGGGCCACAGGGCAGGGCAGTGCTGGGTCTGTGACCTGAGCCCTGCAGAGGAGGCTGGCAGAAGGGAAGTGGTTTTGTGTGTGAAAGGAATGGCAGGAGGGCATGAATCGTTCCAGAGAATAACAAGCAATCTGCAGATTCCTGTTCTAGCTGGAAAATCAGGTCCCTCTTCCCTGCTTTTCTCCCCCTTGCCAAAAGCACCCCTGTGCTGGGAGCAGCTGTGGTCACAGGGAGTGTTAATGGTGGAAGGATGCTGGGATGTGGAAATTTCTCCAGTTCCTGTGCAGGAGCTGGCACAGCAAGGATGCAGAGCCCCGTGGAGAGAGGCTGGAGCACAGGATGTGACAGGGGAAGGGAAGCTGCAGCTGGGAGATGAGGCTGGACCAGCTCAGGAGGTGTGCACACCTGGCTCTGCAGGGATTTGGGGTGAGCTGCCCTGGCTCTCCCCTCCTGCCTTGTCTGCGTGGGGTTTTCCTGACCCTCTGTGCGTGCAGGTGGGCTTGGAAGCCCCTCTGGAGCAGGGAGGAGGGTGGGAGCTGGGAGTGCTGGCCTCAGCTGTTGGGGTGGTGGGGCTGGGAATGTTCCTGAGCACCTGCCCTTCCCTTGCTGGGGAGCCAGAGGGGCTGAGGGAGCAGCTGCAGATCTGCTCCTGCTGTTCCAGCAGGGACTGACCCCTCCAAGCCCTGGAAAGTGAGAGGAAAATCCAATCCCACGCTGAGGTCATGTCTAAAAAACACAATTCTTGAAGTGGGGTATGGTCCTTTCCCTCCCACAGTTCTAATGTGACTTTTTTATTAAGCAAACCAATTTTTTTTTTTCTTCCTCATCATGCAAAAGCCACTGCTGAAACTCCAGCTTCCCCCTGCTAATGATTGAGTGGTTTGAGTTTGTCAGGAACAGATTTGACTGATTGCTGCAGGCTGGGAAACATGCAAGGAACTGAATTATTCTATTGAATTTTCCTTTGCTGTGAAAAAGTTCTGTGAAAAAGATCACAGCCCGTCAATTTAACGCAAATGAAGCAAGTCTTAGAAGAAAACCTGAAATTCAACCTAATCTCCTGTCCAGTAGGGCTTTGGTAGGAGTGCTGGAGGCAAGGAATGTGAGAGTCAGGGTGGGATCCTGTCATCACCTTGCTTTGAGCTGTGACAGGAGCTGGCTGAGGAGCAGCTCTTGGGACAGGAAAATCCTGATTTTTGCTGTGTGTTAAACCATGGCACCAGCCTGGAGCTCATCTCAGGGCTGGAGCCTTGGCCAGGGGTCTGGGAGCTGCAGCTGTGATGGATGAGAAATGAGGCAGCACGAAGGAGTCTGGGAGTGTCTCGTGTGTGTATGAATTCACAAATGGTTCATCCTTTCAGGTTTAACTTCTGTGTGCTCCTTTTGGGTCATCCTTTCAGGTTTAACTTCTCTGTGCTCCTTTTGGGTCATCCTTTCAGGTTTAACTTCTGTCTGTGCTCCTTTTGGGTCATCCTTTCAGGTCTAACTTCTGTCTGTGCTCCTTTTGGGTCCTCTTGCAGTGGTGCTCAGCTGCTCTCAGTGTTTTCCAGCTCCTGCCTCAGCTCAGGATTGATGTGGCAGCTCAGGAAGTTTTAGCTTGGGAATTCACTGAATTCTCCTGTTACACAAATGTACTGAATTCACTGAAATTATCCTGTCACACAAATGTACTAATTTCACTGAATTCTGTTACACAAATGCACTGAATTCACTGAATTCTGTTACAGAAATGCACTGAATTCACTGAATTCTCCTGCTACACAAATGCACTGAATTCACTGATTTCTGTTACACAGATGTACTGATTTCACTGAATTCTGCTACACAAATGCACTGAATTGTTACACAAATGTACTGAATGCACTGAATTCTGTTACTGAAATGCACTGAATTCACTGAATTCTGCTGCACAAATGTACTGAATACACTGAATTCTCCTGCTACACAAATGCACTGAATTCACTGAATTCTCCTCTTACACAAATGCACTGAATTCACTGAATTCTCCTCTTACACAAATGCACTGAATTCACTGAATTCTGTTACACAAATGCACTGAATTCATGAATTCTCCTGCTACACAAGTGTTTCCTGGGGCACACTGTGAGGAACGTGGTGATGGCTTTGTGTGCCCACCCTGAGCTGTCTGTCCAGACTTCACTGGAGCAGGAGCAGGGCTGAGAGCCCTGAGTGGGGATAGGGATGAGAGGGAGTTCATTCCAGGCATTCCTGCAAGTGCAGATCCCCCACAGGACACAGGACACGTTTACCAGCTGATAACCCCCTCTGCACAGTGCTCCTTGTTAATTTTAATGGTGTATGATCAGCTCTCTGCTCCTTTCTTCCCTCAAATGCATCTTTAAGAAGGACCTGAAGGTATTTATTTTACTTATTTCTTTCACTTAGCTCTTGTGGCTGTTACTGGACAGGAAACACTCCATAAATAAATGGCTGGTTTGTAATTGGCAGCAGATTTTGGCCCTCAGTAATTGAACAGAGCTTGCTAATGAGCACCTGGCATCACACTGCAGGTCATTAACACTGACACTAATTAGGCAGCAACCTTCTAGGACACTTCAGCATCCTGTTTGCTGGCTGGAATTCCCAGATTTGGGGGGAAGGATGTCTGAGGAACGTGCAGGGATCTGGCTGGGTGCTCCCTGTGAGCAGAATTTCAAATGGAAGCTTCCAGCAGCTGCAGAATTTCACTGCCCTTCTTGCCTTGGGTTCCAAAAGGGCCCAGTGACCCTCCTGGGTCTCACCTGGCAGAGAGGGAGGTGAGTCAGGCTCACCTGAAGGCTTTGAATCCTTTTTTTTTTTTTGAGTGTCTTGTTTAACGAGGAGGAGACACAAAGGTTTGGGGTTTTTTGTTTTTGTTTTTTTTTTTTTTTGCAATGGTTCTGCATTTTGCAGTAATTCTGCCTGGTGTTCACTTTAAGTAAGGGTGTGTGCTTGGAACATTGGAAACTTAATCTAAATCAAAATAAATATTGCCATTGGCACCGTGGAAGTGTTTAAGGGCTGGTTTTATAGTCATGTAAAGGGATTAGAATGGACTGGGAGATCTGCATCCTCCAATTGAGACACCTGCTCTTCCCCCCTCCCAGCTAGCAGGAATGTTTGTAAATAGCTGAGCAAAGTCATTAATCTCAAATTTAATCATGTGGGGTTTTACTTCATTGAAAAAGTGCTGATTGTATTTTACATTCTCTGTGTTTTTCCTTATTCTGTCTATTTTAAATTCCTCTATTTTAAATTCCTCTCAGTGCTGTTCTCAGCTGTTGACTTTCTCTTTTTTTCCACTTGACAGTTCCTGTAAAACCTTGTTGCTGCAAACCTCCTCTCTCCTCACCTGTCAGGCTGCCACCAGCTCAGACCATCCTTCAGCCCCTTGGTACTTTCAGCCCTGCTTTCTGAGTAAAACTTCCATCTAAATGTTTTAAAACTTCAAACTTCTGTTTAAATGTTTTAAAAAGCAAAGCCTGGCTCTGTGAGTAGCTTTTGCAATTTGAGGCAGGGAGCTGTGACTGTGGAGAAAACAACAACAACAACAAAAATTCTCTTTTCCTTCCAGGGTTTATTGTATTGGTTGCTGTTCATTCCTTACAGATGTTTCAATTTAAAGTTGGGAAAATAGTTTTCGTGCTGGATTTGAGTCACCAAAGGATGCTTGGCTGACATTTGCTTGCCTCTTGGAGCTGAGCTGAGTTTTGCTGGGTGTCCCCTCGAGCAGGGGCTGGGGCTGAGCCCCCCCAGCTCTGCCCAGGCTCAGCTCTGGCTGGGCAGGGGGAGCTGGGGCTGCTCTGCAGGGCAGGCAACAGCATAATAAATAATAAATAAATAATAATAAATAAATCCCCTGCCCTGAGAGCCAAGCCTGAGCCAAGCAAATCGCTGCAAAAAGTTCTTAAAGCCAGGGCCAGCCCTCGCAAAGACTCTGCTCTGTTAAGCCTGGCTTAAATGGAGGAGAGTTGTCTGTGCTTGGTCTGAGCAGCCTCGGGGATGCCCTCGGGTGAGCTCACATAAACCAGGCTCAAACAGAAATCCCAGCCCCTGGGATGGGGCTGGAGGGCTCTGTGGGAATTCCTGGGATGATTTAGGGCAAAGCTGAACAGTTCAGCTTCAACTGGAGATGTTGGAGTGGAGCTTTGGGGGCTGCCCAGGGAGGGCACTGATGGTGCCTGCACAGCCCTGGGAGCACCTGGGGGGGCTGCAGATAATGAGAAATAATTTTAGAATTATTGCAGAATCCAGGGAGGGCACTGATGGTGCCTGCACAGCCCTGGGAGCACCTGGGGGGGCTGCAGATAATCATAAATAATTTTAGAATTATTGCAGAATCCAGAGAGGGCACTGATGCAGCCCTGGGAGCACTTGGGGGCTGCAGATAGTCATAAATAATTTCAGATTTATTGCAGAATCCAGGGCACAAAGCGCTGGGACAGGGGACAGCCTGGCACCCTGACCTTGGCACCCTGACCCTGGCACAGCTCAAGGAGGGCAGTGCCACCTGCCTGGGGGGTTTAGAGTGGGAATTCAGGAGCTGCCACCAAAGCAGATTGCTCTGCTGGGTTCAAGGTTTGTTTTCGTGGCTGTGTCTCTGTGGAAACAAGGCTGAGGGATTTCACCTTTTGCCTCTTGCAGATTTTGAAGAAGTCCTGCATAGAGATCCTGGCAGCAGAGCCCTCCAGCATCTGTGCAGGGGGTAAGTGTGAGCAAGGCCATGTTCTCCTTGTTGCCTAAAATGCAATTTTCCATCCATCCCTGATTGCTGATTCACTAATTACCAGGGGCTAAATATTTCACCTTTGTTTTGGGGTGGATTTCTTTTTCACCTCAGTTTGCAATGCCTCACTCCTGCCAAGTGATGTCAAATGGGATTTTCTTACAGAAAAGGCCTGAATTCCAAAGTTTTGCATGAATGTTCTCCTGTCAGACCACTCTGCCTTACTTGGCTGTGGATGCTTGAAGCAGATGCACTTGAAAAGATATTTACATGCTTACTCAAGTGATAAACAAGGATGCTGCTAGAACACAGATGGCTTAAAATCATCATTTATAACCATCTTTAACACTTTCTGAGGGCTTTGATCTTATCACTGCCACTCCTTGAGCCTGAGTGGAGGGCAGGGTAGGAACAGCTGTGCCCAGAGAGGAAATGCAGAGGGTTTATAAAAGCTGTTTGCATCAGAATTTGGCCAGGGCTTCATAGGAGGAGCAATCTTTGGAAAACCCATCAGTTTTTTGGATCCTCAGTTCAGAACCTCCGAGTTTGGGCACACAGTCCTCACCCTTGGCCTGCAGGCAGTGAAATCCCTTTGGGGCTGATGGAAGTGCCACTGGCCACACAAATAATGTGCACTGGTGTCCTTAAAATCCGTGTTTGCAGGCACAGCTGTGACACCTTGGCATTTCTCCTTGCTGTGCACATCCCTGAAGGATGCTGGCAGCTTTTTCCTTTTTTTTTTTTTTCTCATTTGCAAGGAGGGCTCTGTGTCACCCGAGGCCACTCTTGCACTGCTGGCTCGTCCCAGGCCCTGCAGGGGTAGATTTCAGCACAGCCATCCCTCTGAAATGGCATTTCTGGGGGATTTGGCCATGCAGGGACACTGGGCTGACATTCCAGCCCCAAGAGGTGCTGCTGATATCTCTGATTTGTGTTCCTTGAGCCCTCATCCCCCAGAGCCTGAGAATTCTGTGATTCCCCTTGGATGTGCAGCAGCACAGAGCTCTTGTGCCCTTCCCAAAAGCTGTCCCCAGCACACAAAGGGCCTGCAGCAGCTTCTCTCGTGTGCTGGGATGGTTTTCAGCTTGGCTGAACACCAGTGGGGCCTGGAAGGGAGCCCAGATTCCAGAAATCTGCTTTTCCTGACAAACGCGGTGTGCAGGCCCTGGGGGAGCTGAGAGGAGATGGGGGCTGTGAAATTCAGAGAGCTGAACCTGCACAAAAAGGAGGTTCCTTGGTGATCCTGGGGGGTTTTAAATCCGGGGTGCTGGCCCTGATGCTCTGGGGTTATTCCAGTTTTGTGTTCAGGTCCCATTCTCCAGGCAGGCTGAGGATGAGCCCAGTGCCTCTCCCAGAGTCAGAATTCTGCTTCCTTTGCAGCCACCTGGGAAAGGAGCACTTAAACGTCTCCAAATTATCTCTCACTAGAAGGTTTTTTTTCCTTTCTTCACCCAAAACTTGCTGCCATTGAAAAGGGACACTGGGGAGGGCAGAGCTCAGTGTCCTGGAAGCTTTGTGCTCCCACTGCAGCCAAGTGTGTCTGTGCTGAATTCTTCCCTGCTTCCAGAAATCCAAGCTGAAATTGGGCATGTCAGGAAAATTAATCCACCAACACCTGGGATTTCTGTCCAAAAAGGAGACAGAGGAGTCCTTTTACTTTATTCCAATAAAGGGAGAGGCCATGGGGCATCCCCCTGGGGTCTCTCAGATTTTTGGAGGACTCAGCCTCTTTTTTATCCCAATTTCCCTTCTCTCTTTCCCCCTTTCTGAGGTACTTGAGAGGTTCAGAATTCCCAGAACACCTGATACCAGAGATTTCCCTCTAATGTACAACCCTCCCTTTTAATTTTTCATTCTTATGCAATTTAGGTGTTTCCCCCATTGTTTCTTTCATCTTTAATGCCCAACCTCATTTATATTTTTGTAAAAGCAAATCTCTTTTTCCATTCACCAGTCAGTGGAACCCTTCCCATTGCTCCTTTCAGTGCTGCTTTTACCTCCCACAACCTGTTTTTAAACACAAACCCCTCCTTCCTCTCAGGCAGGGAGAGAGCAGAATTCCACTCCCAACGGGTTTTAAATGGTGAAAGAGCCAGTTTTAGCAGCTGTAAACGCCACGAGGCTGCCGTGCATCCCAAATAACCCGGTGCTGTTTTGGCAGAGTCCTTCCAGGTGGTGGTGAGGGGGAATGGCTTTCGCCACGCCCGCAACGTGGACCGGGTGCTCTGCAGCTTCAGGATCAACGACACGCTCACCCTCAGTAAGGAGCACCCCAGCTGCCCCTGCCTTCCCTCTGCTGCCCCCCCTGCCTTGCCCCCCTCCTGTGGACCCTCAGACTCCTTGGCTGTGGGAGCAGAGGATGGGGGGTGGGGGGATTTCCACGTGCAGGGGGCAGGAGGGGTTCTTTGGTAAAAGGGAGATGGCTCAGAGCATCCCTGGCAGGGCTGTGAGCAGGGATCTGTGTGGTTCTCTCATTATCTGAAATTTGGGGTGCTCAGAGCATCCCTGGCTGGGCTGGGAGCAGGGATCAGTGTGGTTCTCTCATTATATGAAATTTGGGGTGCTCAGAGCATCCCTGGCTGGGCTGGGAGCAGGGATCAGTGTGGTTCTCTCATTATATGAAATCTGGGGGGCTCAGAGCATCCCTGGCGGGGCTGGGAGCAGGGATCAGTGTGGTTCTATCCTCACCTGAAATTTGGGGGGCTCAGAGCATCCCTGGTGGGGCTGGGAGCAGGGATCAGTGTGGTTCTCTCATTGTATGAAATTTGGGGGGCTCAGAGCATCCCTGGCTGGGCTGTGAGCAGGGACCAGGTTTGGTTCTCCCCTCCCCTGTGTTTTGGGGTGCTCAGAGCATTCCCCAGTGCCTGGCTGAGGTGCTCACAGGTTTGGTTCTCTCCCCAGCTGTGTTTTGGGTGTTCTGTGCCCTGCTCTTCCAGCTCTGCCCAAGCTGGGATTTGTTCAGAAAATGCCTGGTTGCTTTGGAGGCAGTCCTGACCCTGCTCAGTGTAAAATAAATGCATTCATTAGCTCTGGAAAGTGCCGATCTCAAGGCTCAGTGTGTTTTGGGCACCTGGGTAACTTGTTCCTTGGAGCAGGGGGAGTTTGCTGGAAATAAAATAGAAATAAATGTAGAAGTGGATACTGTAAAGAATTTCTCCTTGCTCTTATAGCAGTGCATCTCAAGGACAGTTATGATAGATAATTTTTTCCTTTCATTTAGTAGTTTTTTGGTAGGTGGGGCAGACAACTGGGGAGGTGTTTTGGCTCATCTGAGGTGACACAACTCAAACCCTCTCCCTGAGAGAGCTGAACCAGGATTTTATGGAAACCTCATGGAGGCTGGAAAGCTCAGCTATCTTTGTTTGCCTCGAACCTCTGTGCCTCTGATTGCATCAGGGAGGGAGGTCTTTTTAAAGATAACACTAAGCCAACAGTTCCTGAAACCTTAAATTATCCCAGATGAGATGCAGTGAGCAGGGCTGGGACGTGCTGAGGTTAAAGGCATGAGCTAATGGGGTTTTATTGGGATTATTGGCAGGGAAAAGGGGCAGGTGAAGAGAGCAGCGACTCGTAATGTTCAGAGCTGTGGGATAAAAAAAAAAAAAAGGAACATCTGTAGAAAGCATGAGGGATATTTGGCTGAGCAGAGCTGCAATCAGAGGCATGTTCAGCAGCAGGCTGTCCCTGCCAGCAGCAGGAGCTGCAGGATTGGGCTCAGCCTGCACAGGGTTAAACGTGATGCTCCAGCGCAGGGACTTGGGCTGCTGCGTGTGCTGAAATGTGTGAGTCTGCCCAGATGTGCAGGAGCCAGCCCCGACAGCTCTGGGCAGAGAGGCTGAGCTCTGTGCTGAGCAGCTGGAAGCTGAACGGGGAGGTGGAAGCACAGCAGGGCAGGGCTGGAGCTGCTGCACTCCTGGGTGATTCCCCAAGCCCATCCTGGGCACAGAGAGGCCTGGCTGTGCTTTGGCCAGGCTTTGGGGCAGGATCCAGCACTGGGGTGGGTGGGACTGCATCCCCAACCAGTGTCTCCTAAAGACTGGCTCCTGGTTTAAAGCCTGACAGGTCTTCCCTTTCCCCATCTTCCCTTTGTGCTGGCAGCACAGCTTTTCCTGTGATACCCTCTGTGCTCTCCTGCAGCCCTGCCACTCTCAGCACAGGAATCTTTTCTTTGCAGTTCCAGCCTCTGATTTCCCTGCCTGATCAGACCACTGTAACCCTCCAGTGATCCCTTCCCTTCCCTTCCCTTCCCTTCCTTTCCCCTTTCCTTTCCCTTTCCTTTCCCCTTCCCCTTTCCTTGTTCTTGTTGTTATTTTTGGGGTTTTTTTTTTTTGAGGCTTGCTCTTAAAGCATCCTGCATACATTGGACCTTTTTTATCATTATGGTTAGGAAATATTCCAAGTGCTGGCTTGCCAGAAGGTTCCACCCTGCTAATGGCATAAGAAATGATTCCCTCTTGCTGGGAATAATGGATTTTGCAGGCTGCACTGAGCTGCTCAGGTGCAGGAACACTGAGGATAGAATTGCAGGAGCCTGAGCAGTGTCAGATACCTGCTTGGAAGGGCACCCACAGAGCCCAGATGTGTTTTTGTGGGAGGACTGACCCTCCTGCACGCTGCCCAGGCCCCAGGACTGGCCAGTCTGGGTCATCTGGGGGGGTTTATCCAGCCAGCCCCTCTCTGGGATGCAGAAATCTGTCCTGCAGCAGAGCAGGAGATGAGAAGTGTTGTTCTGTTTGCTTTCCCTGGGTGAGTTTTCAGGCAGGAGTCAGATGGGCCAGAGTTATGCAAACCAAATGGATGCTCCTTTGTTCAGAGCACAGCCCATTTTTGTGGTGAAACACAAAACATTCTCCAAACAAAACTGATCTGTGCCTGCAGCCAGCCTGGCCAGCCTGGAGCTCACCCAGAGCTGATAAACCTTCTAGAGAGGCTTGGACTGATGGCAGTGAGCAGGGAGAGAAAGAGAAACAAAAACCTAAGGAGAGGTGAGTAAAAGGCCTTGCAGGATGAAGCAGCTTTTGTTTTGTGGATGCTGGCACGGAGCAGCCTTTGGCCTCCTCTCCTCAGCAAAGAGAAAACAAGACACTGATCTTCATTTTCTTGGCATGTGTGCGCTGAGACAACGTGATAAATTCACGGGGGTTCATGATCTGCTCATAAATCAGGCTGAGGACAGCCCCGTGGGAGCAGATGTGCAGCACAGCACAGGCAGGCAGCTGGGACATGGGCTGGGCAGCCCCTGGGGTGCCCCAGTGTCTGCTGGTGCAGCTCTGAGCCCACTCTGCAGAGCAGGAGTAGCACCCAGTGCTCTCCAGGCCTCCTGGTACTTTATCTCATCACTTTTGAAACCAGTGTAATTCAGGCTGGAAGGTGTAGCTGAGGTTCAGATGCTTCTGGTAATTAAAGTGCTAAATTGTCCATAATGTACAGGTATCCTAACTTCGGTAATGTACATGTATCCTAGTGTACAGATATCCTAACTTCTGTAATGTGCAGATATCCTAATGTACAGATATCCTAATGTACAGATATCCTAACTTCTGTAATGTACATGTATCCTAATGTACAGATATCCTAAATTCTGTAATGTACAGATATCCTAATGTATAGACATCCTAACATATAGATATCTTAAATTCTGTCATGTACAGATATCCTAAATTCTGTAATGTACAGATATCCTAATGTACAGATTTCCTAATGTACAGATATCCTAAATTATGTAATGTACAGATATCCTAAATTCTGGAATGTAGAGATATCTGAATGTACAGATATCCTAACTTGGATATCTCTGTTGCAGCTGCAGCTGTCCCCCTGCCCAGAGTGGCCCTGTCCTCTGACCTTCCAGAGAGCTCCACACCCTCACACCCTGTGGCTCACACACGAGGCAGCTCCTCATCCCCCATCCCATTTATGCATCAATGCAAGGAAAACCCTCACTTAAACTTGCTCTCTGAGGCCTGTGTGAGTGATTTGGCACTAATCCCATCTTTCCCCTCTCCAGATGAGAAGCCTTTCGTGGTGGAGGACACCTACCTGCTGTGCCCAGCACCTGTGCTCAGGGAAGTTGGCATGTATGTTTCTCTGCACAATATTCACCCTGCCTTGGGGAGATGGAGCTGGATCTCCTCCCTGAGTTCTGGTTTTCTCCTTGGATCCCATTTGGATCCCAAGCTGCCATGCTCTCATGCTCAGTGCCAGCTGAACTCTCTGCCCATGGGGAGAGGGGGCTGGATCTCCGCCCTGAGTTCTTTTTTCTCTTTGGTTTTCTGTTTTTTCTCTCCAAGCTGCCATCCTCTTGTGCTCGATGCCAGCTGTGCTCTGGAGCACAGGCAGCAGTGGGAATTATCTGTACAAGAGGATTTCTGAGCACCCAGGGCGTCAGACAGAGGGCTGGGCATGAGCTGCCCTGACTTGTTTCTGGTTTTTTTTTTTTCCAGGGAAGCAGCTCTTCAAGTCAGCATGAACGATGGGCTGAGCTTCATCTCCAGCTCTGTCATCATCTCCAGCACGCACTGTGTAAGTTGTGGCTCCTGAAATGCTTCTGGGGGTGCTGGGATTTGACTCCAGGTGTGTGTCCCAGCAGCAGCAGGGCTGCCAGGCTGCCTCTGCCTGCTGTGAAGCACGTGCCCCCCTCAAAGGGGAGTTTGAACGTGTGGCAATGTGACATTTTGGGTGTGCCACAACGTGGCCAAGCCTTTGGTGAACACCTCAGGCTCCTGGTCTGTGCCTTGGGAAGGCTGAGCTAGAGCAGGGTTACAGAATAAAGCAGGGATTTATGAAAAGGATCTCCTCAATGGATCCACCTTGGGCAGCACAAGAGCCCAGCCAGGGCTGCACCCAAGGTGAACCAAAATGGGCACAAAATGAACCCAAGGTGAACCAAAATGGGCACAAAATGAACCCAAGGTGAACCAAAATGGTCCCAAAATGCATGACCTGTCACGGGGTCTGTCACTTTTATAAGTTCTGCTCCATTTGCATATTGCAGTTAATTGTCCAGTTATAGCTTTAGGTTACTATGAAGTCCCATCCTTCTTGTTTTTCTCTCCTCAGCCCATGTTGTTTGTGCTCTTGGACAAAGATCAGGTTGTCTTGGTCCAAGTTCTCCAGAAATTCCTTCTGCACCAGCAGAGGGTTTGGAAAACGTTCTCAAACCTGATTGTTCTTCCATTACTCTGTGTCCTGGAAGGGTGGGGGATCCTTGGGCTGCAGGGATTCAAGCAGGCACACATTTCTCACCCACCAGGTCAGCCTGTCCCTGGCCTGTCCCCAGTCTGGCACCGTGGCCCTGACGTTGGGTGGGGGTTTGGATGCCTGGCTCCTGCAGCAGGGACATCTCAGAGAGGTTTAGGTCAGGCCTTGCTGGTCTGGGAGCAGCAGGGTCCTGGCACAGCTCAGGGAGGCTGGCACAGCTGCTGTGGGTTAAAGCTGAGCACCAAGGAGTGGTGCACGTTTGGGCTGGGCAGCATTTGCAGTGCTGATCAGCACTGGAGAATTGCAGAAAATGGGTTTGACCTGGGAGAAGTGTCCCAGCCTGACAGGAGGGGACCTTCTGGAGTTAATGGTGAGGAAACTCCCTGTGTGTCCTTGTGCTGGATGCTCAGAGCTCTTGGAAAGCTCCTGGCAGAGCTGCTCTGAGTCAGCACAGCTGAGAGGAGCAGGAGGACCTGGGTCACGGGCCCTGGAGATCTCTGCAAGTTTGGAGTCAGCTCTAACACTGACATCTGGCACGTTTGGGCTGCAGGAGGGAAGAGCTGCAGGGAAATTGCTCAGACTGCAGTGAAACCCTGCCAGGATTGTGGCTGCCCCATCCCAAGGCCAGGCTGGACAGGGCTTGGAGCAGCCAGGGGCAGTGGCAGGTGTCCCTGCCGTGGCACTGGGTGGGCTTTGAGGTCCCTGCAACCCCAACCCACCCCATGATTCCATGACTGTGTTGTGAGCTCTTCTTCAAATCTTTCTTTAAGCCTTCACCTCAATATTCCGGGGAATGTTACATAAATTTTAACCCGAGTTAAGTGTTTGGTGTAAGTGCAGGGGTCAGAACAAGATGCGTGATGTCAATGATGCCAAACCTGTGAGGGCAAGGAGATCCCAGCCTCTGTGCAGGGAGGTGCTGGGGAGGGCAGGTGCCACCTTCCCTGTGTGAGGAGAGGGGAGAGCTGCACCTGCTCTGACAGCTACATGCCTGTAATAATAATAATAATAATAACAACATCATTAACATGGCAACAAATAGAGAGGGGCCTTGGGGACACAGCTGGGGGCAGGGTGCACGGGGGATGTGTGAGGACAGCTCTGTGTCAGGGGTGTCCCAGGTGTCAGGGGTGTCCCAGGTGTCCCACGCTGTGCTCTCTGTGTTCGTTAAGTGTTTGGTGTAAGTGCAGGGGTCAGAACAAGATGCATGATGTCAATGATGCCAAACCTGTGAGGGCAAGGAGATCCCAGCCTCTGTGCAGGGAGGTGCTGGGGAGGGCAGGTGCCACCTTCCCTGTGTGAGGAGAGGGGAGAGCTGCACCTGCTCTGACAGCTACATGCCTGTAATAATAATAATAATAATAATAATAATAATAATAATAATAATAATAATAACATCATATAACATGGCAGCAAATAGAGAGGGGCCTTGGGGACACAGCTGGGGGCAGGGTGCACGGGGGATGTGTGAGGACAGCATCCCAAGGCCAGTGTCCCAGGTGTCAGGGGTGTCCCAGGTGTCCCACGCTGTGCTCTCTGTGTTCTCTCCAGTCCGACGGGACCATCCTGGCCATCGCCTTGCTGATCCTCTTCCTCCTGCTGGCCTTGGCTCTGCTCTGGTGGTTCTGGCCCCTCTGCTGCACCGTGGTAAGTGACACAAATCACCAGCACCAGCAGCATCTCCGTAAGAAATGAGGGGAGGAAATCCTCTTCCTCCTGCTGGCCTTGGCTCTGCTCTGGTGGTTCTGGCCCCTCTGCTGCACCGTGGTAAGTGACACAAATCACCAGCAGCATCTCAGTAGGAAATGAAGGGGAGGAGGCAGAGTTGTCCACAGGACTGATCCCAGAGTTTCTGCCACTGCTGCCTCTGCTTTGGGCTCCTGTTTCATCTGCCCAGCCATGGATTAGACCCATGTTGAAAACACCCAAACCTTCTCAGGAGCCTTTCAGCCTTGTGTTTTGGTCACAAAATGGAAATAGTTTGCAGAAATGAATTCATTGCCATGCTTGGTGTGGATTTTCTAACCCATGCTGGCAGGCTCCTGTAGAAGGGCAGGGCTGATCAAGGACTCCCCACACTGGAGTCCTGGTTCTGCTTCGGGTGCAAGGAAAAGCCATGGCTAGGTGTCCAGATTTTTGCAAGATGAGCTGTGTTTCCTGGATCACCGTGCCTGAAAAGCACTTTGAATGTCACAGTGACAGTGGAAGTGTGACTGTGCTTCCCTGGGCATTGTCTTTCCTCCAGGCCCTTTCACAGAAGTCCAGCAGCACAATCACAGAGTTAAAGCTTTAAAAGGCAGAGAGAAATCGGGATAAAAAACAGTGGAGAAGGGAGGCAAGAAGGAAATCACAGGACTGGAGATGAGCTCTCATCTCCCGTGACTGCTGTGTGTCTGTCCCACCCTGAGCATCCCTGCTGAGCCCTGGCTCTGCCTTTCCCAGCCAGGATCAGGGTGAGGGCTCATTTCCCTGGAGCTCATCATGCAGGGAAGCTCTGCCCTTGTTTTGGGTCTTGTTTGTGCTTCAAATATAGAACAAGAATTAGGGACACACAAATGCCAGCAGGACTGGAGCCTGGGTTTGTGACTGGCTGTGTGTCACCTTGCAGAAGCTGCTTTTGAGGCTGCCTAGACTGGCCCCAGTTTCTGGGTCACCATCATTATTCCTGGTTTTAAATCCCAGACCTGGTGTTGCAAATTTGCACCGTGTTGTAGCAAACCTGCAGTGCAGGGCAGGGAGCTTTGCAGCCACACACTGCAGGAGCCACTCTGGGCTGAGATGTGTTATCCAGAGCGAGGATGGAAATCTTGCAGGAAAAATCTCAGTTGTCTATTTCTGTTCCTGGCTGAAAATGGGGATAAAATGCTTCTCCTCACAGTAGTTTGGCACCTCTGTCCCAGGATGAAAACCAGAATGGAAAAAATGTTTATTTGGACTTTCAGAACAATTAAAAAAAAAAAAAAACCTGGTTTTAAAATTGGCCAGAGGATTAGCAGCGTGGTAGGTTGCTCAGAGTTATTTGCCTAAACTAGATGGCACGTTCCCAAGGGAGCTGGGCCAGCTTTTTGTTGGCACATCTGCATGGAAGTCAGAGGAGATGTGCCCTGTGCAGACTGGGATCTGGAGCACTGGGAGATAGAGGGAAAATGCTCTCAGTGCTGCTGCTCGTTTAAGGTTCTGTGAAGCAGAAGGATGAAGCTGGTGAGAAAAAGGCATAAATAAAAGCAGCAGGGCATGGAGGGGATGTGGAGCTGTCATGAAGGCACCGTGGCTCTGCTGCAGTGGAATCATGTGAGGACAGTGGTCATGTAACAGCCCTGAGTGTGAAAAATAGTCCAGATAAGCAAGGTGGGTGCAGCAGAGAGAGGGAGTCTCTGGTCCACATGAAACTTTAAAAGCTTAATATTTTCCAGATTTAAATTCTCCACTTAAACTGTTTGCTGCGGATAAAAGCTTTTCCTCACTCTCCTCCTTTACCTCCCACGTTCCCTCCTAGCAAGGTCTGCAAGTGGGGACTATCTCACTGATATTTTTCCAATGTAGTCAAACACTTCCCTGTAGCTGTTGGAAAGATTTTATTCCAAGAGGCTGTAGGAAATCTCTTCCACCTCTCTGGGAGGGCATGCAGTGTGTTTGGCAGGGGGTTAGCAGCCAGGATGCCTCCCTGTGCACTGCTCACCCCAAAATGCTGTGAAATCAAAGATAAACCCGTGCAGGAGAGCCCAGCCTGTCAGGGATGAGGACAGGGAGCCCAGCAGAGCTCTGCCTGCTCTGGAAGTGGCACGGGGAGGAATGCAGTGCTGTCAGAAGTGAATTGAGGGCAGAGGAACTGCCTTGCACAACAGCCCAGAGCTCCAACCTCGAATAACCAAACCGCAGACCCGGAGACATCGCCGTGGATTCCAGCCCAGGGACGTCGCCGAGATAATTGGGGATGTGTCAGGGGGAAAAGGGAAAAAAAACACAACAAACTCTTCTCTTACCAAGTATAAATCTGTTTCTGAGCGACAAGCACATTTCTAAACCCTGAAATTCCTCTTGGCGTGCTTTTTAATTGAATAGGAGTCATTACTATCCAGCAGTTCTTCAGGAAAGACACTGAGCCAGCTTCATCCCTGGAGTAAATGGACTGGAGTCAACAGACTCACTCTGGAGGTTTATCTGGAGCCCAGTATCTCCTTGGCACTCATCCATGAAGGAATGCTGTTTCCAAATGCATCCAAGTTTATTGGTCTCAGAAGGATTCTGGGGTGAAGTCTGGAATTCACCACTCGGTTTACAGTAGAGGCAATTGTTGCTTAGTAGATCAGAACAATAATAACTCTTTGCTGTGCCTGATGTACCAGCACAGGCAGAATTCCCCTGGATACCTGTGCAGGATATTACAAAAGCATGGGAGGCAGGAGGAACCTCTCCAAAGGTTGTAGGAGGTTCATTGAATAACAGAAAACAAAGGAACAATTCTGCTGTGCTGAACTCCCCAGCACCGTGCTCATAACAAGAAGGATAGCAAGAAGGAAACCAGTACACAGACACCTCCAGAGGGGTGACCACACCTTTCCTGAGCTGAGCAGGTCTGCCAGGCAGCACATCCCAGCAGATCCCAGCTCCTGGCTGCCCCCAGGCACTGCTTGTCCTCCCATCCCTCCTCTTTCCTGAGCCCAATGCAGACATCCACAGCAGGAACCGAGTGTGCAGGAGGCTGTTCAGCTGCCCAGGGCTGGAATTGTCCTGGGCAGGAGGCCAGCATGAGCCTCAGGTTTAATGGTGATATAAATCAAATAGCTTTTCGTGTAAGCCAAAGAGATAATAAACCTCCAAAACTGGCTGAAGGAGACATGTTGGGAACGGAGCAGCTTCGAGTGTTTGGATGTACAGTGAAGGCAGAATTAGTGTAATAGCTGGAAGGCTTGGCTGTGCTGGGATGGTCTCCCCTTGCTGGGATGGTCTCAGTTTACTGGGATGGTCTTCCTTCACTGGGATGGTCTCCCTTTACTGGGATGGTTTCCCTTCACTGGGATGTTCTCCCTTTGCTGGCATAGTCTCTCTCTGCTGAGATGGTTTCCCTTCACTGGGATGGTTTCCCTTCACTGGGATGGTTTCTCTTTGCTGGGATGGTTTCCCTTCACTGGGATGGTCTTCCTTCACTGGGATGGTCTCCCTTTACTGCGATGGTTTCCCTTCACTGGGATGTTCTCCCTTTGCTGGCATAGTCTCTCTCTGCTGAGATGGTTTCCCTTCACTGGGATGGTTTCCCTTCACTGGGATGGTTTCCCTTCCCTGGGATGGTCTCCCTTTGCTGGGATAGTCTCCCTTCACTGGGATGGTCTCCCTTTGCTGGGATAGTCTCCCTTTGCTGGGATGGTCTCCCTTCACTGGGATGGTCTCCCTTGGCTGGGATGGTGCTCCTCCATCACACCTTTGCCTCCCTTGTGCAGCCATCCAGAGTGGCCTGAGGGGCTGGGCTGGGTTATTTGCCCACAAAATCTGCCCCACCTCGCTCATTTTCATACTACAGTGATTTTAGATGCAGGGGTGTGGCTGGCAGATAAATGAGGTGTTGGTATTTGAGCATCTAACAGCAGTTTTTAACTTTAAAGCTGTTTTCTGGAAGTAAGCTTGGAAGAACCCAGCAATCTGTTTGGCTCTCTGTATTGCAGCTGACCAGAAGTTTTGGAAACAAAAAGCTGGATGGAGAAAATACAGAAAATATAGATTAAAACCACATGGCTAAACTGGTGGAAGAGAAGGGGAGGAAATGCACAGGCTCTGCAGAGCTATAAAATGGCAGGGTCCCTGCTGGCTGGATGGATGGAGATTCCTTACAAAGATCCCTGGATTCTGATTCCCACCCTCTCCCATGAGCACAGCTCCTCTCAATTGTGCTGCTCTGGGGAGAAGGGAGCACAGCATCACTCAGAAAATTCCCCAGGAGTCAGTGAGTGAGGGCAAGGGCTCCTGTGCACAGCTCCAGGTGGCCACCGTGGTTCTCCTTCGCCCAGAAAAGGCATTTCATTTCTATAAAATTTCATTTCTATAAAATTTCATTTCTGTCTCTAAGGAGAAGATTGTGTTTTATTGCAGCTGAAGAAATTGGGACAGGCCCCTGCTTGTGTTAGCTTTGAAGTCTAGAGCAGATCTCCAAGGAGAAGACACAGAAGATATGACAGAAATAAAAAGGAAATTTTCCTTTACCCAACTCATACCTCAAATATGAAGCAGTCACAGGACTGAGAGGTCAAAACTATAAATATGTAAGGGGGAGAAAAATAGGAAATTAGTCAGATGGATCATGGTTAATGCTATTAAAAATCCTTGTTTATTAAGACAGCAAGAATATATGTTCGGTGTTTTCCAGAAGAATGAAGGTAATTAAGGACAAAAATAATCTGCCCAGTTAACAGCATGCTTCCAAACTCCAGTCCTAATTAGAGGCAAAGTCCTTTATTTCTTATTTTGTACTGTTTGCTTCGTTTTAAATGATGATCTGTCCCATCCTAAAGCAGATATGCTCCTCTGACAAGAAACATATTGCCCCAATTTATCATCTAAAACTGCAGGGATAGTCTCTGTGGGATTGCTGGACACAGAGCTGGTGGAGATTTCTGGGCTCCCAGGGCGGAAAACATCCCAGACACATTCCTGGA